ACACACACACACACAGACAGAGCCCAGAGCGGCCTTGTTGTCTCTCTGTCGGGCATGGTAGCATTGGCCCATGTGCATCTCTGCTCTGGCCCCTGTGCCTCCCCTCATCGCTATAATCAAACCTAAACCCCTTTGTGCCACCCACCCCTTTCCCGCCACAGCCTTGAAAGCTCCGCGTAACTCGGCCATGTGAGTCTTAGTCAGCCTGTTCGCGGCATGTGATGCTTCTCGGATCTCTGAAGAAGAAGAAGCCGTCCGCCAACGGATATCTTGCGTAGGAGCATAGGATTATGCTGCGTCGCATCTTTGCGGTTTGACCATGATTGCAGGCTTTCTTTGCTTTGGGCAAAAGAGCTTTCACTGCACAGTGCGACTGGACATTTTCACAGCAATCAAACACTGTGCCTTTCGTTTTGGTTCTCTGCCCACCTGCACGGGGCTGCTTCTTAAGGCTACTTTTGTTGCACGGCTGTGTTTTTGGGCTTGGAAATGACCATAGTAAAGTGAGACATCATACCGGTGGCTCGCCTGGACGAATTATGGAATAGTGACCGAGTGTGACGAACGACAAGCCATGTTTGTTTATTGTTTTGTCGCCTTCAGCTGTTGACGGCTTTGGGCTGCGAATGGGGCTCCGGAGTAAGATGTCATGATGTTCGAAGCCCGAGACTGCGTTTCCGGCACAGCTGAACAAGGTATCGGTCACCTGCAAAGGGACAACTGCCGACGACCTGCCAAGGCAGATATCATGTGCTGCTGCCGTCGCAGCTGTTGCGGCCTGTAGCATCTCTGCTGAGGAGGCTGGGGCCTCAAGGGCTCTATTCAAGCGTTGCAGATCGCGAAGAAGCAAAGTCTGTGACAGAGGGCCAAACCGTGAGTGTCGTACAGGTGCTCATGGAACAGGCAAAGCGCCTGGCATTAATGGAGGCGATCGCAGCGTAGCATGTGGTTTGGTTGTTCAAAAACTACCATGCGAGCAGACCAGGCGCGGTGTCGAGTTCGTACAGCTTGTAGCCAAGCTGCTTGTGCAGCTGTGGTCAGCCTTCGGAAGGAGATCGGTCAGGTTGGGGGCTGAGGGCATCCGGCAGGGCTAGCGGCTAGCAGCTAGCAGACGAGCTGCGACCAGGATGAGAGCGGACAGGGCCGCGGCACTGCGGAAGTTTTCCAAGCAGCAGAAGCAGAAGCGGAGCAGCAGAGCAAGGCGAGGTTGTCGCTGCGGGCCGGGTTTCTCTTTGATGCCGCCACTCCACAGCAGAAAGCCTCGTGGGAGGCACTGCAAGTCCTGTGGGAAGAGTTGGAGAAGGGTCTGGCGCTTGGGCGTGAAACGGGCATCAGTTCTTGTTGATTGTTCGGTGCTTCCCCAGCCGGTGCGCATGACGTTCCAACTCGTCAGCTTGAAGCTTCGGTCCAGTCACCATCGCAGGGTTCCCATGGGCTTTAGGTCGGAGCATTCTGGCCAGTTGGTCTGCTATTGCCCAGCACCCAGTGGTAATCGCGATTGGAATCAGGGCATCTTCGTAGTTTGAATAAAGGCCCGGCCGATCCGCAGGTCCGAGCAGGACGGCCAGAGCCCTGAGTGCTTGGCTGCATCCGACTTCTGTCAGGAGTCGTGGTTGTGTATTCTCGTGGCTCAGGGCCTGTGCCGAGTCTCTCCATGTCAGACTGGGCGGGGAGCAACCGGAGACGTGCACCGAGTCGCTCCGCTGAGCTGAGCAGCGGAGCAGGTAAGACTCGAAGATGGCCAGCACATCAACGACTCTCTCCTGGATTTTTTCGTGAATCGGCTTGCCAATGGCCTGGTGCGAGTTTGTGCATCATCTTAGCCTAATAAGCATGCTTTACTGTGACTCCCTAGGTTCAAGTTTTTGGGGGCTGGTTGAGACCTTGGCGATTGCAAGTATCCTGTTGCGACGCTTAGTGTCACCGTCAAGCCGTCCGGATACAGCAAGGCGAGTCCATGCCTTTAGCTCCCACTTCTTCGCGATGCTGGCCGGGTGACCGAGTCTTGAAAGCGTCTCAGCCCGCAGCGTGACACATGGATCGATGCCGCAGAAGAGTTGGCTCAAGGCTTGCTTCAGGCTTTCTGATTCCGCCATTTCCACATTATGAGTGTGGCGCTCGGGTAAGAAGTTTCGAATACACATTGCAGCAGCGCGAGGAGGCAGATGCAAAAGCATCCGGAAAGTTTGACGGCGAGACGGGGATGGAAGTCGTCGCTCCAGAGTCTCGCACACACCATTTCAATCATTTTGCGCCTCAGCGAGTTCTGCCTTATGCGCTTCCGACGCCATGGGTGCTCTCCCGCAGAAGTTGCGAATGCTCGCCAAGTGCCGAGTCGGCTTCGGTCAAGAAGCTCCCAATGGGGCAACAAGCGCCAACAGCGGCAGAGCTTGCAGACGAGGCCTTTTCTTTGCGCCAGCCTTGACAGGCTTTGTCCAGTCCGCCAGGTACAGGCTTTGCCTGCTCCAGTTTCCAACGAGTCGCTGTGGATCGCCAGTTGTCGCCGACTGGACTCCATGTCACGCTTCTCCGAGAGGCATCGGATGCTTTCCATGTTCTACAGTGTTCCCGTCTCGCTCCACTCGTAGCCTGAGTTTCCTGACTGCGCTCAACCACTTTATCTGCAGCCGAGGTTTGTCCTCTACATGCCAGACTGTCGTCCGTTTTGTGACAAGGGGAAGACATGCAAGCGCTTCCTTCGTAGCACGGCCAAAAGTTGATACTCTCCAGGCCTGCTTGCAGTTAGTCAGGTCTCAGAAATGTCCGCTCGGCGAAAAGAGAATAAAAGAGACGAGTTCGGCTGTCCCGATTTCTGATTTCGCCAAGGAGGCAACCACGACCTCTTTATGCATGTGTCGCCTGATGTTCTCCAAGCTGCGGCGGCAGATGCCTGGCTGCAACAACCCAAGTATGGCTCGGCCTCCAGCTTCTGTGGCGATCGCCGGCAAGAACAGGAGCATTGGAAGCTCCACGGGCCCACGACGGTCGTCAACTTTCCTGCCATACGAGACGTTTTCTTGCCGTTCGTGTCGCGTTGCTGGCTGAGTCCAGGCTGAAGTTGGCCCTAAGCGACAGCACTGTCAGCGCTGTGGACTGCACTGTGCAGTAGCAAGTGATCTCTGACAAGCCAATTCGGGTCCGAGGATGCCGCCGTTCTCGGACGGACAGGCAAGACTGACACCATCAAGTCTGCCAAAACCTCTACAGCAGCGCGACGTAGTGGTATTCGTGCGCCACGCATGCATTTCTCGATGCAGTTCCAGCTAGTGATAGTGACTGATAAGTCACTGATAAGTCTTTGCAGTGATCGCTGCGGGCTCAGGCACGGGTTCCGATACGGTACCCTTCGTGTTGTGAAAACGTGCCGAGCACTTCAGTGTACCCTTCGCAAGCACTCGGTGCTGGCATTTCTCTGGCCTTCGCACAAGGGAAAACACTCCTACAGCAAAGCCCGCCGGCGGCCCAGTCGTTTTGCAACGGCAAACACGACATGGTGGAAGCGTCAGAAGCACAAAACTGCAAACTGCGCAAGCGATCCAAGGCGCAAAAGCAACAGAAGCAGCTCATCTGCTTGGGTCGCTGCTACGGCTGCTCTGTGAGCACTGCTCTTCAGTGGTCATTTTGGCTCATAGCCTTGGCTGCCGAGTGGCACTAACCGCACTTCGAGACAGCCTGGGCAGGGCGGCCAATGTCCAGTTGCCGGGTTGCAAATGTCGAACACCTTTGGAGCTGTCGTCCTGCTAAACTTGTCCTCGCATCCTCACTTAGACCCTCTGGCCACGGCCAGTTTTTGCCCGGGTCGCAAGTTCTACAGATGGACCAACCCCTCGAATGCCTCGAAGACCTTGAACAGGCAACTGTTGTCTGTCAGCGAATGCCAGAAGATTTAGGTTTGATGAGGCGTAACTGGACGTCTGCTGTACGTGCATTGTTGAAGGATGTGATAAGTCTTTGAGTAGTTGGTGCCATCGATGTGTCGTGTTAGTGTGCACCCAGAGTTATCAATCCATGTCAAGCGGCTCCACAAGGAGTCCAGATTTGGACCAAGTTTGTGCTTGAGGTATGTGGCCCTGCTGGGTGCTGCAGTGGCTCGGGATTCTTTGCAGCCAGGTCAGGAGTTCGACCGGCAAAAGCATCTGGAATGCAATCTGGATTCAGGACGTCCTGAATTGGCGTTGGCCACCATTGCAGTGACAGATCGTCCCAAAGTGTTTGCAACCTTGAGCTTCAGCTCCCGGCCAACCGAGATGGGTTCAACTGCTGTCGGATTTTCTTTTTCACTGCTTAGGCTCTCAGTCCAGCAGTTGGACGTTCTGTTTTCTCAGCAGGACCCGGCCTTGTGAGTGTCTCGATCAACAGTCCTTTCTGTGGCTTTTAAGCACTGGCCAACGGATCTCCTGTGACTCGCAGCAAGTAACTTGAGTCTGCGGGAGCCGGTAGCACCCTGCTGTGTCGGGTTGCCGAAAGTCGCCTCTCCGCTGCCTTGCAGGACGGCATCCTGCGGAAGTATTTCCGGCTGGGTGAGACGGCTCACGCCTGGTTCTCTGTGGAGCCGGCAATGTCGGCAATGGCCAATGATGCACTCGGCCTCGCAGGGCCTACTGGGCCACTTCCAGACACTGCAGTGTTGGACCTGTCCTCTGAAGTCACATCACATAGCGAAGCTCAGCTCGAACCAGTCTGTTCTCTCGCTGATGAGGGGGATTGTTTGCCCATGTCAACCTCAGGCCGAGAAGTACTTGCTCGCCCCTTCCACTCTATTGCGATTGAGTGAGCAGATGAGCTCAGACGCATGCGCTTCCATGGCTTCGGAAGGCGAGGAGATTTCTGCTTCGCTGTTCCAGCAGTGGGTTGACGATAAACAGCACATTGCGATCACCTGTTTTAACTGATGCTGCCAGTGCTGCGAGGCGCCCCTGGTAGTCCAGCAACTGCTGGTCTCGATGGACGAGATGACACGGAGTCGGAAAGCAGTGACGAGTCAGGCCTGGAGTGGATGTCCTTTGCCAAGTCACTTGGTTCGTTGATTGTCCATGGCAGCCTTGAGTCACACTCTGGCTGAAACTCTATTCCATTAGCTTGTTCTTGCCTTGCCAACCAGCCAGCCAAAGCTAGCTGCACGTTTGTCCCGGTCGTTTGCACGTTGCTTAGATGGGAGTCTAGTTCCACAAGTCACCCTGCAAGGTGTGAGCTCTGATGGATCCTGATGAGTGCCTGCAACGATGCTGTAGCACTGGTGGAGCTTGCGGAGTCCGGATCTTCGGATGTTGTGCAGTCTGCTCAATGCCAACGTCCTTTAGCCGGGATCGCGGGCATGAGTCATGCCTCGCGACTGCTTGCATTCAAGATCTATCAGTGGAGCTTGGCCCATCCATTGCAGCCAAAGCACTAAGCAGACTCTTCAGTCGAACATAAAATACAGTAGGAATGGTGTTATGCTGGACAGCGAAGCGGTACACCAGCGAATCCCAGCGAGTCGACCAAGCTAGTCGAAGATAGTCTTAGAGTCTTTTTGCGTACTGTCCATGAAGCGGCGCCATGGCTCCAGCTCCTGTCTGGGAAGTCGTGGGCGGTGGCGACTTTGGTTCCTCACAAGCATAATCTAGATTGACATTTTGGGATTCCTGCACCTCTGAGGTGGCATTCTTGTTCGCCAGGGAAGCGAGCTCAGCTCGCAGCCCTGCAGCGAGCGGCTCTCCACCGGCGCTGTTGTGGAGGACGGCCCTCCGGCCCTCAAGCCCCATGAAGCTTCACTATTACACCAACAAGTCCCCACATTGCGACAACCGGCGTAGTCGCTGATGGGGTGGCGAAATGTTGTTTTGACTGAAGTAGCATGGAAACTCAGTCACGTCTTTTTGTTGCATGATTTGAAAGCCGGCCTAGACTTGGCTGCACTGCAAGTCCTAGGATGCGTGAGCATCCGCGAAGTGCGGCTGTGCGGCAAACCATTAAAAGCCCAACTTCTCAACTGTGACGTAGGCTTATAACTGTGACGTCGCGGGCCGCAGGTAGTAGAATGGTTGCTTCGCTTCACTTCATCGCGGAAATGTTAATTTCAGTCGGTACTGTAGTATTTGGGAAGTCGCGCTATTGCTTGTTGAGGTGTCAGGCATGGTAAAACTCAGGTATACGCTTCCGGCAGAGCATACTGTTCACCTTGACCGTGGTTTTCCGTGTCTTGGAATTTCCGATCATTGAGGCTCCCAGGTGTTCCAAACATCTGCGACACCAGTAGCAACGAAAATTCATGCGCAGCCGAAAAAATGGTCATCTTAGCCGAGGCCCGTGACATGAACCGTAGCCGCGGTAGAGATCATTACGCTCCTTGCACACGCATTGGGTCTAACATAGGGCTAGTTGGTGTAGGAGTTGATCTATATCGGTTGAAATGATGTACCAAGACATCCTCGCTTGTGGGCATAGATCCTTAGACATGCGAGAGGGAAAAAACAGCCAAAAACCAACACTGGCCTTGCTTCCAGCCTCGTGTGACGGCAGGCTCAACAGCCGCTCATGCCCGGTAGACGAAGACGGGCCGTGCAAGTGCAACGCTTAGGAGTAGAAATAGTACTGAGTTCAGACTTTGAGCATGAGAACAGAGATCGCAGACGGAAGGCAAGGACATATACGGGCCTTGCTGGGAGGAGCTGGAGCGATTGGGTGAGCGGCTCCGCTACCGAAGGCTCCAAGGCCTCGGTCCAGAAAGCGGCTGGGCGAATGCCTCAGCGAGAGAAAGTTTTTGCGTCGCCTCTCCTCGCTTTGTCGAGGTTACTGTCCGTCTTGGCCTGAAGGCAGGGTCCGGGGATTTTTCAATTGGGAGCAGGGGCGCCTTCACCAGGAGCTCCTGCGCAAGACTGCGGACAAGAGCCGCAACGGTGCAGAGGATGATGCCCCAGGAGAAAGAACCTCCAAAGCAGCGTCGCCGGGAGGCTTCCAGCAAAAGATTGCCACAGGACTCCTGGCATGCGGCATGCCAGAATGTCAAGTGTACCAAGTTGAATCACTATCGTGCTTCTTTAGCCCCGCCGAGTGAGGAAAGAAGGTGCGAATCATATCCTTGAAAAGGGAGGACTACCAGAAGTACAACGGCAAGAACGGAGCAATCATGGGATTCGATCCTGCGACTGGGCGCTACTCTGTGTGGCTTGGTTGGAACATGCTTGTCCTCCGGCACCTGCCAAAGCCACACAATCTCAGGAAAGTGGTGATCCTCAGCGACAAGAGTGTAGGCCTACAGGCAGAGGGTGCCACCCTCCTCTTGCTGAAGGAGGACCTCAATCACGTAGCATTTGGAGTGCATGTTGCAGGCAGTGGCAGAAGCGATGGCGTTCATGAGCTCCGTCAGTACTTTTTAGTCGTTATGATCTGTAAACCTGCACGCAGTTGACAAGCACCTGCACTGAAGCCTACCCGGGCTCAGTGTACACATAGGACAACATTGAGCTCCATCCGGATCAGCCGCTTGGCATTCTTTGGCAGGAAGGAAAGAGGGCAGAGCTGAGCAGAACCTCCTGTGCCACGTCCTGGAAGCAGAGCAAGGAGATTGCGGTTGCTCGGGGTCCACGTCAGAAAAAGAGACGTGCGGGAGGGTCCGCGTCCGGCTGCCCTTCCATGCCCGGTAGAGAGAGAGAGGGAGAGAGATACAGAGAGAGCGGGTCGGGGTGGGCATGCTCACACCCCACAGAAAGACAGAAGGGGTCGTGGTGGGAGGTGTCCAAGCAGTGCGTCAGCGAAAGCGCTTAGGCTGGGGTCGGAGGCAGTTTCATGCAACCGAGCGATAGCGGCGATAGCGAGCGAGCGAGAGAGAGACAGTGTGAGCGCTGAGCCCAGCCGAACCCAAAACGAACTCGGACTCTGGAGTCCGGCAGCCGGCCCAGATCTGCTTAGCCAGGATCGAGCGGGATCAGGTGGGCAATGGCGACGAGATCGTACTTCTCGGTGCTGGTGAGGCAAAGCGCAAGCTTTACGAAGTTAGACTGGATCCTCAGTACTGGTATGACAAGGCGATAGAGAGAGGCTAGGCTGAAGACTCCGTCACTGTTTGTCCCCAGCGGGGGTGGTCATGCCCAGCGGATCTCGGCTGAGGAGTATTGGAATCGCGAAACGATTTCGAAGTATTGGATCTTCCTCCACAACTCATTACGGACCTGAGTATTCTCAAGAAAGCCTACAGAAAGATATCGCTCTCAGTGCATCCGGACAAGTTGCTTGGCCGAATGTCGTGTCTGGGGCTCTCATTTGCGTGGCTTTGGGATGTGCAGCTCCGCTTAGGAACAAGCATCCTCAATCGGCGGATGCATTTCGCAGCTCTGCCCGTAATGAGATATCCGCACATTGCAGACATGGCATTCTTGGATTCTTGACATGCTGAGTCGGACAAGCTGCAAGGAAAGGTTTACGGAGCTTTCGAAACACTGATGGACACGAGACAGCAACGGCGCTTGCTCTGGACCTGTCCTTACACTTGATATGGCCTCTCTAGCTCTAGCCTGGCAGAGTCCGCATGTTCAGACAGCTTTTCACCGCGACCACGGTGTGAACAGGATTCTTGGCAAGCTCACCCCTGACATGGAGGAGAAGGCGGCCGCTGCACGCCCCCGACAGACAGCCTCAAAGACAGAGCGGCAGTGCACAGTCACCAGCCCTTGCTTGTGCTGAAGGTGCTGTTTGACGAGGAAGAAGAAGACGAGCTTTTCCAATGGTGGTGGGAAGCAACCGTCCCGGAGATCGAGAAGCAGGTTGCAGAGTTTGAAGGTCAGCAGTTTGATGATTACGGTGCCATGTGGATCTCTGATGGACTCGGGGGCGAGCCTTGGCAGCAGCTATACCTGGAATTGAAATGCAGGATGCTTGCTTGCTGCAGACATGTGCCGAGGATGTTGAGGAGGTAAAATGGATTGGATTGGAGACAGCCAAGCGACTGCACAAGGATGAGGAAGGTGTGATTTTCATTGATGTTCGTGACCGCCGTGACTTTGCTGCCGGACACATTGCAGATGCTTTCTGCACACCACTTCCAGAAATTATCGAGCCTTGGCACACGCCCAGCGAGGTCTTGTGGACAACCGCGTTATGTGTTTTCATTCAGGACTATGGCCTCGTGAACGTGTTCATGGCCGCCGATGACCAACTGATACATAAACTCCTGACACTGGTACCATATTAGATATGTTCTTTCAGCTGACCGGTGGCCAGTGGCTCCATGCACCAGTTGACTGATCCAAAGCAAGTCTGGCAAGGAAGCACCGCACAAAGCCGATCATCGTGTATAGCAGCCCAGTTGCAATATCGAATCAGGATAGTGGGTGCAGGAATGTATGTGGGCTTGTGTTCATTCCTGTAGGTAAAGAAGCTCACGATGGCATGCAGATTTGCATTTAGATAATGCGCCGTGCATGCATTCATGTGGTTGGAGGCCCGACCTGCTTATCTCACCAGAGGTGGAACCATTAATCGCCAGAATATCTTCCGAGGGAGAAGGTGCAGCATGTGCGAGAACAGCTAGTCTCATTGGCGGCGGACGGTTCTCACAAGATGTATCAATGTATCAGTGTGAGTTGCTCGTCACTGCATGGGACTAGTGGAGAGGCACGACCCTGTACGGCCTGGTTTGCAGCAGCCACGATTGAACAGTAGGCTTTGGAAATGGAGCCATGCATGTGATGCTGTGCCTCGTGCCTGGCAGACAGCGGCACGCGTTTCTTTTACCCTGTCGATGTTCAAAGGCTGCAAAGCAACCTTGTCGGGCCTGTAAGTTTCCAAGCCAATCTAGAAAATTGGATCTTGGGCAGCAGTCAGTCTTCAAAACTCAAAACATGCTAGCTCAGAAATTGAAAAAAATAACCTGGCCAAGGGATTATGGGACACGCGAGCCACAATTACAACACCATTACAACACCTATCGAATTGCACAACGACAACCGTTGCCGACAACAAGCAGGTCGAATGCGAGGCCATGCAAGACTCCGAAATCCCGCTTGTACTGCTCGTGTAAGGAGTGAGTCGCCTGCACGCCCGTTTCACATCCTGGTGGCAGACTGCTTGACGGTTTGCGGCGGCTTCCCAAACCCCTGACAAGTAGTAGAGCCCATGTCTACAGGGGTTGCGCGAACGCGTTCTTAAGCACTTGTCACGACTTGTATTCGCTGGATCATGCGTTGTCTGTATGCGCTGTTATCTGCTGCTTGCCGCAGCGAAGCACAGCGTCAGGTAATAATTGGAAGCTTACGAAAACGCATGCGCAGTTGTGTTCGCTACATCCACCTTTCTCAAGATGCCAATTTGGTTGGTGCTAGGTGTCGGATTTGTTATTCCAAACGGCCTTGGCTTCTTGTGGCGCCCTTGTGCGGCGGAACATCTTGCAGCCACTATGCATCACTATTCATCGTCATGCTGGCCGAAGAAAGAGACATGGCCGGTCTAGCACGGCCCACTTGCGATTGTTTAAAGGTTCGGCTCCCTGACTCATGCTCGACACGTGTGGCAAAGTTGCTGCAGGAGGGTTCGCCGTCGTACATGACAACTTGCGACGCTCGTTTCATCAAGGAGCAGGCTTGCATTGCAACTGCTCGTTCGAACAAGTTGAGTCGCCAGCCAAGCCATCGGAGCAATATCTGTATTCTGGGCCCGGAAAAATCCGGCTGGAGGAGCATGTGTTCCCAGAACGTGCGGAAGCGCTACTATATAGTTTGATAAAGGTTCAGTGCGCCTGGGCAGAAGAAACACCCAAACAGGAGTGGCTCCATCTGAGAATTTCGGATCCACCGAAGCCTCCGCATGCCCGCACCAGCGCATTCACGATGGATCCGGGGCAGGGATCGAAGTGCAGAGAAGAAAAAGGTTCACAGAGCTTTTACGCAAGGTTGCACAACTCCACGCCCGGACAACCCGCCCCGAGCCTCAAAGTGAATCCATCCGAAGGGACCCAGATTCCTGTCCGACCTGGGCAAAACACACTCTGGACCACAAGGACACGACAGATGAAAGCAATCCAGGCACACAGATCACGCAACCGAGCAACCACAGGCCGCGTGTGTGTATTTGACACTTGCCTCATACCCTCACTGGTTCCTTGATCTGCAATCTCAAGTCAAGGCGAAGTTGCCACGCCGTTCTCCAGATGCCGAGCCTTTTGCCGCTGGCTCTTACGAGCCGGACACCAGACCATCAAAGTGGAGCGTGTGAGACGCTTGCGCCGCCTGGAGAAGTTGAGAACAGTTTAGAACTTGCAATGTCTGCTTAGTAGTCTTAGTCTTAGTCTTTATTTGGTTAGACTTGCAGGCTATTTTTCTGCCTGTCGTAGTCTGCACACGACGTAAAAGGCGGTGGTATATTCGGATGGAAACACAAGAACGGCCAAAGCCTCGGAGGAAGTCTTGTTATTGCCTTTCTCCTTGAAATATCTCTGAGGACCAGTGGCCCGTCCTTTGCAGGAGCTCAGCAGTCATTTCCGCTCCAAAACCGGAAGTAGTTCGACCCTTGATTGGGAAAGGACTCTTCCTACGAGCTCACGGACAGTGCAGAGAAAGATGTGAGTCGGCTTTCTGAAACTTCCGTGAGTTTGTCTGCGTCTCTGATGGGTGCCGGGGGCATTGCCGTTGAGTAGGGCTGCGAGCAGCAAGCAGCACCGTTTCACCTTCGAGCCATTCTCCCTGCAAGCTCGCTAGCAGAGTATTGACACTGTGCTTGTTTTCCGTGCAGACGGCGAGTACCTTGCGGCGGATGACAAGTGCCTGCTGGGTGCGCACTTTTCACGAATTGAAACACCGCATTCGAGGCTGGCAGACAGGAGGACATGGACTCGTGCAATGCTTAGGTGGATTGCAGATGGTTCGCGTCAGAAACGCAGCCTCCTTCTGAGGCTCGACGCCAGCGAACATGGATGGGCAAGAGCTGACGTCTCGGACCGTGCGGAACTCGGACTCGTGTACAAAGCCCAAGAGTGGCAAGGTCCGAACATGGACGCGCAGCGTCCGACGACGACATCCCGCAGGCTTGAGGGCAAAGGGCCCAACCCCAGCAAAGGTTTTTGCCAGACTCCAGTCTGGAGGATGGAGTGGTTGAGTGTTGAGTAGCTGTAGCTCAGTGGTGCGGAATCTATCAGGCACTGTTACGACGGCCATTCTGATAAGTTGGAGATTGCATTGCCTGTGCTATTTCCGGTTGACCCTTGAAGAATCTAGGTGCGGTGCTTTGTGTACGATTACCTACTAGTATGCCCAGACTCCAAATCCCAGAATGTTCGATGTTCCGGTGGTCCCATACCGAGATTAAGCCGCAACCTCACGGATATCGGCTGAAATACGGTCTGTTTTCGAGCGCAAGTGGCGGTCCGCAGGTTCCGGTTTTCTGAAGAGCTCATAATTATTTCGGCGCTGCTGCAGCACACGGCTCTGATCTAAATCACGGGCAGGTTTTAGGTGCGGTATAGGCCTTTTCCGAGGCACGGGTCTCGGAGTGGGACAGATGGAAGTACAACCAGTCAAACAGGCTGAGAAACCCAATAGCATTCTTAAACCCAGCCACAAAACAACAGAAAGCAAAACAACCAAACTGTCTGGTAACTAACTGCAGCACCTGTCGGCTTCAACCGCGAGGCTGTACACGTCTGCTGCCTGGAAACCTGGAGTTTTGCCCTCATATCAACAAGTGAGCGAAGCACTGTGCACTTCTGTTTAGTAGAGGATGTGAGCATTAAAAAGCCGAGTTTCCAAAGAATGTTCGAACGTGCACTAGCTACATACCAAGCGAAAAGAAGTGACATATGGGCTAAATTCATGTGAGTATTGAAACTCGTTCAATGTTAGTTTTTGAGTTGACTACGTATTTTTCAACGCACGAACACTACAAGAACACCAAAACGGGCTTTCAAACGAGTATGAACCAAACACGAACCGGTATTATGTAAGCAGCAGTAAACAGTTTCTGCCCAATGACCCCGTGTGGCCGCAACATGAAGAAACACCTATCTTATATTCGATGTTCCTTGATCTTTGCAGAAGATCATGTCTTTGAGTTTAACATCGTACCACACTTGATGAAACAATAACAATGTCCATCATCATTGCAGCACGTGGAAGTGGATATCTTACAAATACAGATGACGACCCGCAAATTTATTGTTGTGTGTTTGCGAATTTCGGGTTTTTTGCCGTGTGCAGACCCAAGGCAAAAGAGGGGGCCACCACAACACACGAATTGGTGGGTCTTCGAAAGGAATCATAGTTAAGTGAGAAAGCGCTAGTTCTGATGCAATTATGCCGATGCTCACATGCCACCACAGTCCTTTCTAATGCTAAGCGAGGACGCATCGAGACTTCCTCCTGCAAGGCATCTTTGCTTGTGACTACTTGTTCTTGCCGTTGCACCATGAAGCACGCGCCCAAGTTTTGTCAAAGAGTCGTGTCCCTCGATGGCAGACAGCATGTTGAAGCTGTTGCATCGGTCGCAACGGGCCACAAACCTGCATGCACATGATACAGCTGAGCGCAGCAACATGACACTTCCTCGTTACGACAAAAATGTCGACCTGCATCACTGCAGTACTCAGCATCATAGGTCAGTGCACTCATGTGCACTCTGCCTACCGAAGCCGGCGTGGAATCCGTGAAGAGGGGCCGTAGGGTGCTGACGGATCATGTGCTGTTTGTCATTCCGACTAAGGCCGAGCGCCACTGGTCTTTGGCAGTGGTCCGGGCATTGCATGTGCTTATTGAAGGCCTATGCTCCACATCTTCAATGCCTGCCCAGGTTTGCAGGCCCTGGGCGGCCGTGAACATCGGTCAGGAAGTTAGCATAAGTTAGCAATGTACATTACGTTTCTTCCGACCTGGCACGAGCGAGGATGTCCACACGACCACTACTGTGGCATTTCTGGATTCTCTGCGTTCACCCAGCAGCGAAAAGCATGAGGCCAGTACCGAAGCAATTGTAGCAAGAAGCGAAGCTTGCGCAGCATCTTGCAGGCAGTTGTTCTGCACAAGTTGAAGAGCTATCTCAGATCCGAATGGCAAGATTGCACTCCGCTGTCGACTTCATTTGACGAGGGTCGCATTCAGGCTAGTCACAGTCTTACCACGCTGGCAGAACATATGCAGAGTGTGTGCCGGATGCACGGAATCCAAGCATGCGCGCTGTCTGTGCAGGCGGTGGCAATCGATGTCCCACAGCAGCAAAATTCGTCTGACTGTGGCATCTATGCCCCGGGCTCGGACCTGGTGACCTTCCTGTCAGAATCCTGCTGGTTTTCTATTGCATGGAGCCTCCGCGGATTGATGCTTCATCTCTTGCTTGCCTTTTTCTGACGGTGCTGTTCTCCCGCACTGCATCATCTGTACATCTGCGGAGGTTAGTTTCTCGCCCTATTCTCGCCGTTGTTATCGTTCTTGGTCTGGTTGATCTTGGTCGGCTTTTTCATTCTTCGTCATCGTGGTGGGGTTGACCTGTTTTCTGCACACCTATGGACCGGAGACATCGGTGAAGCCTGGTGCAAAGTCTGGGGCTAAGGCCTGGGAGGTTTTATGAAATTTTATGAGGCCGTCAAACGCCACACGAACCTCCAAACGGGTGCATTTGCTGGCGCTGCTTCTTCACGTGCGTGCGCATGCGCACCATCGCTTACTCACACCCACAGGCTTTCGACAGGCACGCCCGCACGCCCGCACGCCGCCCGCCCGCCCGCCCGCCCGCACGCACACACGCACGCACGCACACACGCGCACGCCTGCGCGCGCGTGCACACACCCAGCCACCCAGCACATATGCACACGCACACGCACGCGCACGCGCACGCGCACACACACAAGCACACGCACGTGCACCTGCACACGCACATGTGCACGCACACGCACACGCACACGCTCACGCGCACGCACGCCACTCGCACATACTCACACACACACACACACTCACTCTCACGCTCACGCTCTCGCACTCTCACTCACTCACACTCACCCACGCACTCACTCACTCACCCACTCACTCTCTCCCCCTCTCTCTCTTCTACCTGCATGTACCCATCCGCGGCTCATGCATGTACACATCTACGAAATTTCCCTCTCTACATCGACCTCGAGATTCTCAGAATCAACAATGATCAAATCGAGTCATACCTTTGCTTGTTGGTTTGGTCTGGAGAATCTGAGCGGGCTAACTATCACAAGTGCTGTGCTTGAGGTGTTAGAATTCATGCCGCGAGCCCAGTTCTGAGCGCAGGGAAGGCTTCGAAGCGCATGGAGATGCGCGGAGGCTTGCGTGGTCTACTGTGCGGTCCATTGCACTTTTTTGGGCTGCTTGGCTCCGAGGCTGCAGCTGCTGTGTCATCCTGGAAAGCTCGCGTCTTTGGGCAGAGATCCTTTGGCTGTGGAGTTGCAGGCGGTCCTAAAGCATTCCTTTTCCCCGATGCCCTTCTCAGTGCTTCGCAGGTTGGCAAGGCCAGGCACGACAGACTGCTAATTCGTGAGCTCGTGTGACCCTTTGTGTGCATTCTCGCCCTCTCGCATCCGCCCACACGCGAATGGAAGTCGCGAGAGGCTCCACGGCAGCGCTGGCGTCAAGCTGGTGCCAGTTATCGCAGCCTGAAGCAGGCCGGGCGGCTGGTGGGCCACAGTGAGAGACGGAGTCGACCTGATAATGCGCAAGTGTGCTTCTTTCATCCGGTCTGCCAGGCAGCTGCAGGCACCCAGTGCCCCGCATTGCGACAGCAACGTTCGAGCCACGGCCACCCGCCAGGTGGTTCTGCATCCTTTGACGAAGTTGGGGCCTTCGTTCCATCAAGAAGAAGGAATGGAGAGACGGATGGCCTTTTGCAAGGAGTCGTGGATGGAGATGCTCCTTGTGCGCTAGGCTTTGCCAGGGGCATGGCATGCTAGAGCCGACTTTTGGCCCTGGCCGCTTCGGACAGGGAGTCAGAATTCACCACACACTGCCCCAAAAGCACCTTTTGTGTGCGGGCAAGTGTGCTGACTGTGTGTAAGTTTCAGCTCTGCGGTGCACAACCTGGGCCTCGTGGGCGCCTCGTGGGCCAGACCCGCCAAAACCTCCCCCCCGCCCCCCAAAACTCAAGCGAAGCTTGGCTTAACAAAATGCATGCTTTGGCGCTTGCTGTTGAGCGCTTGATGCATCTTGATGCTGCAGCGCGGGTCTTCCCTGTTGCCCTAGTGGCTAGAGCGACAGCAGGCAGACAGCAGATGGAGTCAAAAGTTGAAGACCCAGGGCATTTCAGGCGACAGTGACGGCAAAGACAAGACCTTTTGTTCACTCTCCCATGTTGAGTGTTATGTACCGTCTGCGTGAGCTGCCCAAACAAGGCGCTGGGACAAGAAGACCCGCCCATGACTGCAGCTGTCAAATTCTACTAGCACGCAAGTATGTCTCATCCGGCAGACTCCCGAAGGGCAGAAGGGTTCTTCTGCCTTTTGCTGGATCTTGTACTCTAACCGACTCTAACTGAGGATGAGCAGCCACAGTATCAGTATAAGTCGTCACCAACAGAGCTTCCGATGTAGCATCCTCTTCAGCGTGCTGCGCACTGCATGGCTGGGCCATGACTGCGACACTTGCAAGGCGAGAGTGATGAAGTAGTCCACCACAGAGTTGTCGTGGGATTCCTTGCTAGACGTTTCCAAGCTCCTCTGTGGCTGACTTGCCTGGGTGTGGTCTATGCCCTGCGCAAGTCTTAACTCAGCCAGCGTGTTGCTATGATGCCTTGTCCTCGTGGCGTGTGTGCATGTGCAGCAGAAGAGCTGTCGAGGTATCGGCGGTACTTCCTCCGACGGAAAGATGTCAGGCGACCTGACATGATTCTTCACAGGCTTGCTGTGATCGGCGCTCATGCAGGCAGCTTCAATCAGTACTGTAAGCATGTTTCCTACGGTTGGCAAGTTGAGAGAGGCAATATCTGGTGAAGTTGCGCCTGTGAGGTTCTTGAATTCACAAGGAACGGACCGGCCATGAAGATCTCACTTAGCCTGGGGCCACTGTGCTTGAGAACCTATCCTAGAATAAACGAATGAACACTGCAGCAGCCCAAAGCGGACGACTTCAGAATGAGCACACTTTGTAAAATGGATGTCTCACGACAAAACTCTGGTGAAACTTCAAAGGCTTTTCGGAGATGGCATGGCGTGTAATGCTCCCTGAAGGTTGAGAAGTTGCTCCGCATCTATACAGTTGCCGCCAACGTGCGTATGAGTGGATCAGCACACTTAGAGTAAGAAGCTTGCACATGCATCGCTTGAGATGCTTCGATTGCTTAGTATGTTCCAATCTAGACAGCCCCTTTGAATCTCAACTTCCAATGCCCAAAAAACCCGGAAACATGTTGCAGATAAAGCTGGCACACGAACTGCTTGAAAGCTTCGGGCTCATGATGGCTACAGCAGTAACCAAAGCACACTCCTGTCTGGAGCTATGCCGGTGTAGCACTGCGCCATGGGTGATGAAGCTCTCCAAAGCAGCTTCTCATTCAAGCCACTTGCCTGAGCTTCGCGGCGGCACAGTCTTCCTCACTCTGCCCATTGATCCTCCAGGCAGCGGAGGCTCCTCACCAAGCGCGGGTGCTGGCTGGGTCGCACCGTCAGGCGGTGGTGCCAGGCCTTGCACAGTCCAGGGGACGGCCCTGTCTTGAGCCTTAGCTTGCAGCCTGTCAGGTGGAGAGAGCTGCTTTTCTGCATTATCTTGTTCGTTTTGAAGGTGGTCTTTGTCTTCTCATCTCAATCTGCTCGAAAACCAGAGATCGATTTCGGTTGAACTGCTGTCATTCGCTCGTGGTGGCTGAGCTGCCGAGGATGAGCTGGTGTACTATGCAAGCAGAGAGGCCACAGTGCCAAGAGGAAGGGTTGCCCTCACGGAATGTGCACTCGGCCGCTTGCTTATGCTCTCCGGGCAAGTAAACGAGTGGGTGCTTCGGTTTATCAGGAGCAGTCATCCAGAGTGCAGGTGAGGATCGGTTTCTTGTGAGTTGGTGCTGGCTTAAGCTGCGAGCTTCCACTAAGAGCAAATATAAGCAAAGAACCTAACTCTCTAGACCATTCAGCGCATGAGCACGCAACTTGAGCTTCTGAGGTCGAGAGCATGATCAATTTGAGGCATGGCCGAAGGCACAGGTACACCCCTCAGAGTGATGGCAAGTGCTCTGCTCACTGACGTCTTCCCGACAGACACGAATCTCTGTCCAAAGGCTCCCATCTCCAAGACGCTCCAGCTTGCACGGCCGGGCAAGAGTCCCATTCTCATCAGTGGCACGTCGTCCGAAGAGATGGCGGCATTCGCTGCATTCATACTCAGCCACAAGAAGAAGCAGTCGCAGCCCGTGGCAGAAGCCTTGCCTGACTTGCCTGCTTCCCCGACGATGCCAGAGATACCTCCGATAGGTCCTCAATTCATGCCATACGTTCGAAGTCGCGAGCCTGAGACAACCTTGGCGCGAATTGCATCCCGAACATCAGAGTGGTCTGCTCCGGTTCCAGAGGAGCTCGCAGACCGCACCGACACCTCACCAGGAAGCAGCAGCTCAACATCAAAGGTCAGGCAGTCTCAAGCATCTGTTTTTCATGAAGTGGTGCACGGACTGGGTCCGAAGCTCGCTTACAGAAAGGCCATGGAACTAATGTGGAACTACGACTTGGAAGCAGCTTGCGTTCTCTTGGACCCCTGGAGATCCTCGCTTCTCTGGCATGCTGCAGCTTATGCTGAGTGCTCGCTGTTGCGAACGATTCTTACAGGCCGGAAAAGCGATGCAATCACAACTCTGGAGCTGATAAAGGCAGCAGAGTTGCTGCGAGACAGCCCCTCTTCGCTTTCGCACGACATTTTCACCGCGGAGATTTTACTGATGCGGAGCTTGCTGCAAGTCATGCTGGGGCAGCGCTTGCGGGCTTTGTACAACTTGCGACAGTCCTGGTATGCATACTATCGCTTGGAACAGTTTCTGGAAAGTGACGCAGACCTTCGGGCTTGTGCCCGGGACGTTGACTGTGTCATGACGTACGAGGACCTGAGAGGCCGTGTTCTGTTTGGTTTGGGCTTCTTCTACATGGCCACTTCATTGATTCCCACCAGTCTGGTGCCGCTGATTCGCCTGGCCGGCTTCGTCATGCACCGTCAGCGGGGCAAGGTGTACCTCTTCGAGTGTGTCGAACGTGCGCTTGGCACTCGGTCGGCTCCTGCAGCCATCCTGCTGGCAATGTACCATCTGGACTTGGAGCCCGTGGCTTGGCACGCAGAGCTGTAGGTGGAGCATGCCATGCATCCCTTGAAGAAGACAGACATTGGCTCAGCACGTTGTCACTTTGCACATGTCAAGCTTTGAAGCTTACTGCCCAAACCGAAGCTTACAAGAAGATGTGGCGCCGCCAGCAGGGTATTAGTAGGACCAACGATCCTAACCGCAGCCCTGGGAACATGGGCAGTCTCCATGAAGTGGTTCTACCAGTCTCATATCCAGCATCTTCCCTCGTAGCCATTATACTCATTCATTCACTGGCACAGGACATAGGAACCAGCAGGCAGAAGCTATAGCGCAAGCCTGTGTTTGGCCATGGACCACCCAACAAGCACGGAGGCGCGACAAGTATTTTACGGCCGGGTGAAGAGCTATAACTTCACACGAGGCTTTGGCTTCTTGGAAGCCCCATCAGTTCAAGCGCTGTATGGCCGCGACGTTTTTATGCGAAACGAAGCCGTGGAAGAGTTGACGCTAAGCCGTATAGCAAGCGGCTCCGGCCCAGATGCAGCAAAGGATCGGGGAGAGATGTTTGTACAGTTTTTCGTGAAGCTGAACGAGGCAGGGAAGCCGGAGGCGGAGGATGTTCGAGAAGCAAGGGTCGAGGACTTGCCGCAGGAGTTGCTGCAATTGCCGCAGTCACAACGGATGTCCGGCTACCCTCAAAGCTGTCGGGAGAAAGATTGTAAGGAAGAGTCCAAAGCCAAAGCCAAGGCTTCCAAGGACGCCTTGAATAAGGGGAAGAAGAACAGGGGCAAGGGCACCAGGGAAGGAGATCTCGAGTTGGATGCTGATTGCAGGATTCGCGTGGGCCGCGATGCAGCCGAGAATTGGGACATTTTAGAAGCTGCCAAAAAGAAGCATTGGTTCTTCCATCTCACAGATTTTTCTTCGTGTTATGTCATCCTCGAGTGCAGCAGCGAGCCCTCTCCGGAAGAGAAGCAACAATGCGCGAAGGTTTGCCGTGAGCACTCGCAGAAAAGCCAACGTGCTGGTCCAATTAAGGTCGATGCGACGCCATGTGGCAATGTCAAGTTTGACCGGAGGCGTGATGCGGTCGGAGAATGTGAATACAAAGATGAATCGAAAGTCGAAGTTCTGATCGTGGAATGAACCAGTGAACGCACGGGAGCTCGAACTTCACATCCAGTGCAGTGCAGACAGAGAGGCGCCGATTTTGGGAGCGCTCCCAGACCCGTGATGCGGCCTGTTGCGATCCCTGCGCGGCTAGTGCAAGTACAGCACGTGGCAAAAAGCCATCTGCACGAATCGCATCGCATGTGTTACGCTTATGCGTCTTCCGAGGACATGAAGCACGCCGGCAACATACTGATTGCAAGCCTGGGTCGGCAACCGGAGAATGCACTTCTGCATTGGGCAGGCCTGGCCAGGCTTTGCAGGTCATGGTCGTGTTGATCGCTGATCCAGTCGGACTTGCCTAGATTCTTGCGTACAGCTATTCGTTGCAGATGACGAAGGCTCTCTTCTGGCCTGGCGCAACACCTTCATGGCGCAGGCCAGGCACGCGAGTCCCGCTTCAAGCGCTGAGAGCAGGTCTCCCCCTTGTCCCGAGGCAGAGCGAGAGAGAGAGAGAGAGAGAGTTCAAGTTCACTCACATGTGATGTCGGGGGATACTCTTTTGCCTTTAGCTGTTACCTTGCTGTCAACCGCTTAATCTGCTTCCCCGACATATGCGGTGAGTTACTGCAAGTTAGGTGTCGCAAAGAAGTACTGTGCTGGTACACATCGGAGAACCTTGTCTTCTGTGTCGAATGTAGCTGTAGCCATGCTTTACTTCGGGGGAGAACGATGTGCACCCGAACCTTTCTCACTCCTCCTCAAAGCCCCATAACATATGTGTGGCCTAACTGCCGCGGGGCCCAAACAGCTCCCTATGCCCTGGGAAAGAAGAGAGAGAAACATACGGTTTGTTTCCCTGTGTCACAGTCCTGGCGAAAGAAAAGAGAAAGATACGAATAGTTTGCTCTACTGCTGTTCTGCGCACTTGTCACTTTGTCCGCTGTTCTGCTGATACATGAGAGAGCCTCCCGACAAAGTGCTGACGGAATTCGCGTTGACAGCCCGCCTTTCGCCCGGGGTGCTCCAGTGACAGTCACACGACTTTCCCGGGGAAGCTCCGTTGTAGTACAGCCGTTTTCCCTTTCTGAGGTGAGCCAGGCAACTCTTGAATGGGGGTTCATAGGGCGCGTTGGCAGGTGCATTTTCTTCCAGGTGTTCTGCAGGGTTTGCGAGGCCATGTTTGCAGTTGCCCTTGTAGCTCAAGTGATCTCGTTTTTGTACCGGGCCGCATCTAGTATTCACCTTGTTTCAGTTTGTTTATGTGAAAGTGCCCCGCGACGATATGCTGCAGATTCTGTTGTTGACAGCCCGTAAGTGCCGCGGGGGAGCTCCGACCGCAGAGGTGGGGCATCCGTGCCAAAATACTGCGATACCTCGGCTGTTTCCTCTCGATGCTCGGACCTCTTGTTACAGTTTGCGGGGAGCAATCTTCGGTCACTGCAGTCATTTCCATAATCATTCCGGACCCGGGCAAAACATTTGCTGCCGTTATACCGTTCTTGATTTGATGAAGTAGTGCCGTAACCCAGGCCTTCCTCGACATTTGGAATGCGTTTCATGCCTTCCCGCAAAGCCCATCAACACGGGAGGTTCGACCCCTTCCGGGGACGGCCTTCGCGCCAGGGGGCTTAGGCCCCCAAACCCCTACAAAAACAAGCGAGCAAGCTAGCTCTTGCTGCGTGCATGCGGGGAGGGCGTAGTTCTGCTTCTCCTTTGGTCGTATGGAAGAAGAGAGCGACGGTGAGCTGCTCAGTGGCTTGCATCAGCTGGTGGCTCGCGCAGGCCGTGTCCATCACCAGCAAGGCGCTCTGGTGCTGTGGAGAGGACCCCGGCTTCCCGAAGATTGCTGCACGTTGCAGAGCTGGGCTATCGCTTTTTGGCATTTCTGCTAGTTGAAGGAATTTCCTGCTGTTCTGGTCGGATGCAGGAGCTGGGAGAAAAAGCGGTGTATCTCAGCGGCTTGTCTGAATTGGGGCTTAGGCAAACTAATGCAACATGTGTGTCTTGTTGCAACAGCTTGCCTCTGTTCGGTGCACGATAGTGTAACATGCCGTAGCTCAGGGTATGAGTTGGGCATGTTCCACTTCATTGCCATGGAATGGTCAAAAGCCCACGAACACTTCAGCTGCGTGTACAACTCTGTGAACTCCGACAAGGCCAGGCCAGGCCACAAGCCCAGGCCGCGGTGTGCTGCTCTGCGAAAATCTTGCGGCTTTCGAGGTCTTCTTCCCTTACCGCTCCCTTGTCACCACCCAGCAGCCTGGCAAGTAAGAGAGAGAACGCCCAGTTGGCAAATCTGTGACTTCTTTAAGGTTGGCAGCTGTTGCCTTCAGCATGGGTCAGAATGAGCTGGGGGAAAGTTTGTGCAAGGACATTGTTGCTTCAGCCACTGGCAAGTGCGGTTACAACTACCTTTCACCCGCCAGGAGTGTGCTGCGATGCAGGACTGGAGTACGCTCTTGAAGCTCGAATCCGACTTTGCCCCTCGCCGAAATCCTTGGCTGATTGAACTCATGAGAGTGAGCGCTGTGCTGTTACACGGAGCAGAATGGAATCCAGTGTTGTAGTGCTCAATGTAAAAGTCCCCAGTTTCGGCCACATGCCTTGGAGTGTTGGAAGGGACGTCATCCACAGCCCCGCACAGACACAGACACGACGTGGATGTTTCTGAGGCTCAGGTCGGGCTTTGGGGGCCTGAGCTAGCAATTTTTGTCATCAGCTGCTGCACCGCACGTGGCCACAGTCCTATGGCGAAGATGTAAAGCTTCACGAGCTAGGCCCACCCTCTCCATTCTTCCCTGTTTTTCCCTGGCCCTGTCCTGGCGCTCTTCAAGGTTCCCCGCTTGCTCAGAACTGCTTGTGGGTGCGGTGGTAGGACGCCGCCCTTGTACCAGCCCGAGGCCCCCATGAGCAGTCTTGAGCTCACACGGCATCAGGCTTCAGGTGCCATTCCATAGTATGATATAGTATGTAGCCCAATTATCTATGTATCTCCCGAGGCACGAATTCTACAGATCTTCCTTCGGCGGAGACAATGGCGGAACCTTGCAAGCACGTGTGCTGTTTGGGATGGGTAGAACTGGCGGAACGTGTTTCAGCAGATTTCGAGCCTCCCTTCTCCACGTCAAGTTACCTTCCGAATGGACACGTCAAAACACGTCGCTCATATGCCGGAGCTTGCCACAGCAGTCGAATGACTTCAGGCAGCGCGTACTGCCATCTTAGGATGGGCCCCGAACTTCAGCCTTGTTTCAGCTGTCCCGAAAATCTGTCATCATCGTCGTGACAGCACCTCCCGACTGCACGATCTCAGTTTAACCCTTCCCTCGATGGCGGCATAACGCGTTTTGTATCAATGTGCAACTTGCTAGGCGTCTGCTGGCCTTCGAAGTGATGTACTTCCTGCGCCAATTCCCGAAGGCGCACCTCTCCAGGCAGCATTTGCTGCATGTAGATGTGACACGTGTGCTGCAGGTTCCTGGCCACATGCTGCTAGCCCTGAAAGAAAGTGCCGGCAGCCAAGCTCGTTAATTTGCTCCGGCCTACAGTAGGCCGTAGCATCTTCCCGCCACGACCCCTTTAGAATGATTGGAATCGAAGGGACAGCAGAACATCTGACGGAATGACATCAAGCCGATCTCTCAGGTGCGGAAGGCGACCAAGCCGGTTGATGAAGACGCTGAGTGGCTGTCGGAAGGTGCGCCTTTTGTAAAAAATTCGGGCTCATGACATCACATGCATGCAGCGCAGCAGCAGGCGAGAACAGCGACAGCTGCATCGTGGAGATGGCCAGTGCGCTTACCATCCAAGTCGCTGCCTGTCGTTTCGTTGGAAGCCAGACCGAGTCCGACGGTGCGCGCTGCTGACTCGCTGCTGATGCTGCCGGATCCATGCTGTGCAAACTTGCTCTGCTGCTATCAAGGTTATTTGCTTCTACCTTGGCGATGCTGAAGCTGCCCCTGGCTTGCGCATTTATCCGTGTCATCCATATTGTCCCCAAAGAAAGCCGCTTGCATTTCAAGGCAATGGTCTTCATTCCAGACTTGTCGCAGCTGTGCCCTCGATTGCCTGGTTGGGCGACGTTGCCTGGCAAGATTGGGTTCTATGTAGCTTGTTTTTGGTAGGTGGCAGGTGGCAGCAGCAGCTCTTGCACGATATGAGCGGCTCAGCATACAGTCATACAGTGGGGCTGTTGAGTCCGGTTCTTGCCATTGCTCTGGGGCCTAGTTTAAACATGTGCGAAATGCAAGGTCGAGGGCTTTCCACAAAACAAATCCGTCAATAGCAACTATGCAACTATAGTGCATACTTGCGCCAGGGGTCTTGGATGTTTCCTGCACTACATGCATCGTCCTTCCCCAGCGTGTTTTGACAGGAAGTGCCGCCAGTCATGATGTGATGCATGGCACAACGCTGGATAGATCCGGATGGAATCTTTCGGGGTGATGCTCCCCTAATGAACCATAAGCCCTCAAAAAAATCCAATTCCGAAGCTTGAAGCTTGACCACACATAGACAAGAAGAGGCAGGAATTGCCTGAAGGTATCTTTCAGCCCACGGCTTGTATTGGTGCGGTCGCATCCTGGCACTCACCGGCAGGGACGTTGATGCGAATCTTGGACCAAACAATGTAGCAGACTGTTGCAAGATCAAGACTCCGATGTGCGGCGCGGATGCTCCGCGTTGGGATGGACGCCGAGGCAAACTTGTTTCCAGCAAGCAAAGTCGTACAAGAAGCAGCTTGGCAAGAGCATGGCCGCCTTGCTGTACCACATCCATTGCACTGTAAATGAATGAGGTATCCCTTCAACATCTCCGTAAAGATATCGAAGGCGGGAGCATGGGTTGGATCTGAAGGAGTCATGATGCACACAGTGTTGCTGTCCATAAGGTGAACCTGTGCCGGTTTTTGAGTCTCATGTGCTCAAGAGTCAGGTTTTGTTTCCTCCGGGATTGGCCTCAAGGCCTCTTCGCCAAAATACCTCTCTGCACAGATGCCTACTTGCCTCGCCTTCGGGCCGATGGGGATTCAGAGCCAGTGAAGTTCAATTAGACAAAGCAAGCAAAAGGCAAAGCAAGCAAGAGGCAACCGAAGATGGAGCAAAGTGGGATGGTGCCCACGCCCACAAGAAATGCGGAGACCGGCAGGGCCACACAGCGAGCCACAAGACAAGAGGCGACAAGCAGAGCCGCCGGGCGAACTACCAGCGATCAGAATGCCCATCCTGGACGGAAGCCGCATGGATGGTGCCAAGCACATCGACGTGATGGCGTGTGACAAGTGCGAGACAGAGGCTAGAAACACCAAACGAGACACAGAAAGCTCAGTAGGAAAGTTATGCAGTGTGCAGCCTCGCAACACCTAGTGCACATGCTTGTCTAATCTGGAACTGGGACCAGCCGGGGACCAAGTTGTACCTGATGTCAGGTTTCTATCCCCATCGCCCGACCTGGCCGAAGAAGCCTACAGTTTATGCCACTTCCCAGCTGTGAACATAGCCCTTCTGGAGATTCCATATCGAAGAGGACTTCAGTCTCGTTGAGAAAATGTGCGGGACAAGGCTGTAATTAGTAGTAAGTCTTTCCGTGTCGCCTTCCTAAGGGCGCCTGTCGAAAATTAGAGCTACTGCAGCGGGATGATGCAAGCTTCCCTGGACTTCCATCTTGCAAATCCAATGCCCCAGCATGGGCCTCGGTCTGGGGAGCACTTGTTTTCAGAGAAAGGGGGGACCTTGTTGTGCCCAATCTAATCCGTTTACTCGCTTCTATCCGTATGCCAACACGTGCTTCCTTTAGCCAGCTCACTAGAAGAAAGAGACAAACAGGGAAAGCGGTTCCAGCGCAGTCCAGATGTGATCGGAGGTCGAGCAGGTACGAGTCAACCTTTCAATCATTCCCCCAACCACTTGACAGGGCCTGAAGGGAAGCAGCACTGCCTTGGAGTGTCGGCCGCAACCTACTTCCATGCCGTCTGTTGTGAGCGAAAGGGGGCAGGTAAGGTGACCACAAGAAGATGAGGAGCCTAGTGACGAAAAGCGACCAACAGGGACCGCTGTCAAAACGGATCAAGACGGGTCGTGTCCCGGCAAGATCGGATGAAGAACACCATTCATGTGCTTCGGCATCCTTCCTCATACCGCTTCCACACTTGCTCCGCATTACAAATTGAACTTTCTGCAAGTGTAAGTGCTTGGTCCGCCTCGGCGTCGCAGAGGGCGGGGGAGAAGCTCCATGGACGAGTCCTACTACAGGAAAGGGGTGACGGCGTTGAAGAAAGATTGAGGGAACCAATCTGAGAGCCAGAGAGTGCTTCGGGCCGGGCCGAAGCAAACTCTAGAGTGCAGAGGCCCTGTTTGTAAATTCAAGTTGTTGTTGCTTCACAAGCTGGTTGTCTTGCTCATTGCTTGAGCTAGCAGTTTCAGCCGCAGCAGAGACAAAGCTGTCAGGTACTGGCAGAGCATGAGGAGCAAATGGCGCAGCAAGAGGAGCTGACGAGCAGCGCTTGCTGAATCTCTTGTCTCAATTTTCCTCGCTTTATTGTCATGGGTGCCAATGCCGAACCCACAGTAACCCACTCAATCGAAAAGGTACTTGCCACACTCACAGGCACCCGAACAGAGAGTCTAGTCTAGTCCTTGCACAGAATTCGCACGATGTGGCCAGTGGATGACCGTTTCACCACCATCCTCTTGTTCCGAGGAGGTGTTCATCATAGCAGTAGTACCTTCCTGGCTGCTTGACCTTCGGCTTGCACAGCTAGGATTGTCGTAGTTCCATCTCGCACAGCAAAGGCTGACATTGCGATTCCAGTTAGTCGTTCAGTGCGTTAAATGCCGGGATGTTGCGGTATTTCGAAGCTCGATTCTGAGAGGAAGCATTGTCGTATGTCAGCAGGTTTGCATCTGCCACTCCCGTCGCGGGCTGCAATTTGGTGGAGGTTGGCAAGGCGGCTGGCAGCCATGTCTTCGGTTCTCGAGTGGGTGTTTGATGCTGCTGCTTCTGCTATAGTATCTGTGTCTGGGAACCCACTAACAGTCTGCTGTTGTTCGATTCTGAAGGAGCATCCCGCCCGAACACCCACACCGACCGAGAAGGAGACGACTGTGGTCGAAGAGTTGACCAAGCAGGCCTATGGTGGAGATCATGCATGCCGCAAACCTTTGAGAAGTCTGCGCGTGACACTCCAAGGTATGCTCGCTCCTTCTGAACCAGAGATATCGGGTATATCTCCACGCCTCTTAATTGCAGATGCATGACGTGCTGCTTTTCACTGAAGACGTGGCGAAGGGGGACGTGGTTTGGATGGCATGATGTGATGACATTCTTTGGATGAAATGATGTGGTGATGCTCTTGATGTGGGGTGTCTCTTACTTGAGTTGTCGTGAGATCGAATGGCGGCTAGCGGAGTCGCAGCACATCGTAAAATGGCGCGCTGTCTTTGTCTCGTGTGCGAGCGTGCGCGGGTGTGTGTGTGTGTGTGTGCGTGTGTGTGTGTGCGCGTGGGCGAGTGGGGGGTGCCTTGACGATCTGTCCTCGGAAGTACTCGGAAGTAACAGTCCTTTGAGTGTCTGCATCCTCCGGTAAATGCGATTTGTGACGTTGTAAATTCCCTCTCGGAGCACCAATAAACGCGATCCATTGTAAATTCCAATACGTTGGCCTCACGTTGTTGTTGAAATTGCAACCCTCGCAGAGGCCCCGGTATGTGCGCATCCTCCGGTAAACTGCAATTATAAGTTCCAATACGATGGTCTCACATTGGTCTCGGAATGACATCACTCTCCGAGGACCCCGGCATCTCTGGGTGCTGCGCATGGCGCGGCTTTCGATCTTTGTATCGAATGAACTCGCTGGCACTTGGTGGAAGCTTTTGGTCACGTCTGTGAATCCCGCCATTACGTGGGGGGAAAGCATTTTGGCCGTGCTCCTTCATCTCGCCAACACTTGGGGGAAGCATGTTCACCAGGACAACAGTGTATGGACGTTTAGGAAAGATTCGTAGAAGGGTGTATGAAAGAAGCGGTATGGAAGCTTTGCAGAAGCGTTCCAACAAGTTTGTTAGAGAAGCTTATAAGATTTATAAAGGGGTTTGTAGAAGGGGTTGTAGTTTGTGGAGGGGCTTGTAGAGAAGTTTACAGGTGTGTAGAAGGATGGATGGATGGCTGTGTGGGAGGGCGGGTGTGGGCGCATGGATGAAGGGATGGATGGATGAATGGATGCATGAATGGATGGAAGGATGGATAAGGTGAGATGAGATGAGATGATGCTCGGTGTTATCTCGCCACTCCGGGACACTACAAAATGCAGACAAGACTTGGGCACTGCAGATTTCCTGCCCGGGGTCCCATGAAAGATATGTGCCCTGAAGCTGGGGCCCAGGCTTTCACCATGTTGCTGGCAGCGCCGGCTCGTTGCGCTGCTTGACACTCTGGACACTGCTGGAAAGTTGTTGCTTTGAGGTCGAACTTCAGACCTGCCCTTCCTGGACGTTTTGGCTCGAGGGAAGCTTGAGTCTGAACTTTTGTGCTCGAAAGCTCCGTAGCATGAGGGCATAGAGGCCATCCTACATCGATGGCACAGAATCAACAGCAGATGATGCCCGGGACTCAAGGAGAAGTGATTTCCTTTCATAAGCAGAAAGGCATTTCCCTAGAGGCTGAAGTGCATGATGCAAGGTATTACTATGCCGTGGCACCCGTCCAGCCAGGGCACGCGGTGCAAAATGATGGTTCGAACATGAACCAAGGGCAGATGCAAGGCTACGATCACCAGATGCAGAACTTTAACATGGGAAGCGACCATGGTGGATATACTTACGTCATGAACCAAGACGTTTCGCAAATGGGCGTAAATGTACAGCAACAAATGGCCCAGATGCAGCCTACTATGATGGCGCCTGGCAACGGGTGCATGCAGCAAATGGTCCTTGTGCCTATCATGCCCGACCAGCAGCAGCCCCAACAGGGGATGCAAATGATGGATCCGAGCAGCGGATGTCAGGGGTGCCAGGCATGTCAGCAGGGATGCCAGGGATGCCAGGCTGGCCAAGCCCCGGCTCCTGCTTGGGGCCAGGCCAACATGGCCCAGTGTTGCAACGGCTGTGGTCATGGCGGGCACATGCCAGATGCCCAGCGAGGCCATCAGGCAATGCAGCAGCTGCCGCATTCCAGACCTCACGAGGATCGCCCACGTGAAGCAGGGCCGACCCAAGGGCCTACAGCTTTCGATGGTAGCATGCAGACGGCTTCCATGCAAGCCCCAGGCCCAGCAGGCCCAGCAGGTCCAACAGGTCCAACAGGTCCAACAGGTCCAACAGGTCCTGCAGGTCCTGCAGGTCCTGCAGCGCCTCAAGCAGCAGGCCCTGCAGCAGCAGCACCAGCTGCTGGAAAGAAGAAGCTTTTGAACAAGAAGATCGATAAGACTGCCCCGGCCCCCGCCCCAGCCGCGGCCGGTACAGCCGCCCCGGCTGGTGGTGCAGGCACGGCCACGGCATCCAGCTCCCAGACATCCACAGCTCCTACCCCAGCAGAGAGGCCAAAAGCTTCACCAGCTTCGGACACGACACCCGCACCAAGCGCACCCCGTGAGTCTGGAACCGGAACCACGGCTGCAGCCCCTGTGCAGCGTTACCAACCCACGCCAATGCCAGCCAAGGCAAGTCAACTGTCGGTCCATCAGTTTGCCTCATCAATCAAAGCCTTGAACCTTGAGCCCATGCGAACGGCATCGGCCGCCAAGAAGAATCAAAACCATAGGGAAGTGTATTTCGACTCGGCCGCGGCCAGGTTGCCCGAACCCCCAGCACAGCAAGAGGCCCAACCAACCCAAACACCGCAACAGCCACCAGCTCCCATAGCAGCGAATCCTGTTTCTCCACAGCCATCACCTTCTCCGACACAGCCAGTGCAGCCAGGCAGCCTTTTGATTTTCATGGTTGTTGGAGGATCAGGAAGGATGCCAGATGGTGATTTGAGGCTGACATGTTGAACGTCGGCAATCCGCCGGTAGTCGCAACATGACATATCCCTTGTGTCAAGGCAACCCAAAGCATCTCCGCCACCGGCGGCATCTCCACCTCCTCTAAAGAAAGGCTTCAAGCTCGAGAACAAGAAGCTACCCGCTTTTGGCCCAGCTCTGTTTTCTGCCAACCCAATTGTGTCTGGCCCTCACCGCGTGAAAGGTGAAGGCGAAGCAAAGTGATGACGTTGAAGCAAAATCCGACCCTCCTAAGGAGACGAGACCCGCACTGTGCACATGCAAAGGTCCGTTTTCGTCTTCGGCATGCCCTGTGCCAAAACGTTGACAGGAGACGATCAAGGATGCACCGCCTGCGGTTGTGAAGGACGTTTCCCCGGCCAGAGCGCTTTCGATGCCAGTGCTGCAGGATATCTGCTTGTGACAGGAGTCGGTGTTGATGCAAGCAGAGGCTATAGCTCTGGAGCCTGCTGGGGCCTCTCATGTAGCTCAGCTGAACAACTTCTAGTACTGAAATTCAGGAGTCAGTTTTGCAGTTTCCAAAGATCTCGCGCAGGTTAATTTGACTCCAGTGAACAAGGTCTTTAGTTGCTTGGCCGGCAGGTTGTGTACGTGTACTTGTGTACGTTTGTGTGTGGGCACACTGTCACGCGTGCTATGGCATGCAAGTGTTGCAGCGCTGGGTCCTTAACAGAACCGCAACTAAACCTACTGAGGTCGTGAGCTGATGCTGAGGATTTGGCAGATGCACAAGGGCGAGCTGCATGGCGCAGTGGCAGAGTTGCGACTTGTCGGCACATCGTTTGAACCGTACATGCTCTTACTGTACTGATCTATAGAGATCTTAACTGCCGCAGATCTGCCAGCGTTCGTCCTGGAGAAAAGACACCAATGCTGGACAGGCAGGGCTAGTTGGCAGTGATGCCGGGGTGGCCTTTTGCTGGTGCAGATGTCAGGAAGAAGTCTCTGAAGCGCGAGGAGGCACCTGATCGAGCAAATGTCGCATGCCTACACAGGTAGACTCAGGTAGACTTTGGGGTTCTGCTGTTGGAAAGCAGACGAGCCTGAACGCTCTTAGGTCTTCGGGACGGAGATGAAAAACAAGGGCAGCTTGGCCTCGGCTTGTCTGTGCTCAATAGCATCGCAAGCCGGCAAGACCTCTCCAGGTAGAAAAGAGGCGCAGGTTCTGAAGCCCAGCGAGAATGCTTACAAGGTAAAAGACAAGGCTGCGATGCAGGGCATGCAGGGATGTAGTCGCGCCGAGTTCGGGCCTGGCCGTTGGGATGCAGGCCAACGACCGCATGGAGGAGCTGGAAAGACATGCGCGACCCTCAGTGACATACCTTGTGGATACCGTGCGTGCTCCATCTCGGTTGTCGCGCCAGTTTTGTGACGGTGTGCAGGTGTGTGGTGTATGCTTGACCATACCTACCATGCTTCCTATGCCCTATGCACTGCCACTTGCGCTCTTGCGAACCAACAAGCAGGGAAAACAAGATCGCACGCCATGACCACGCAATTGGCATGATGCCTGTCTTCTTGAACATGGCCCCAATCAGGCCCGCAGCTTGCTGAACAAGATCTGTCCAGACAACCTGGCCAAGATCGTCGACCAGCTGGCCAACATAACGCTCCACAATGCCGAGGAACTGAAGCATGTTATTCAGATCATCTTCAAGAAGGCCGGCAGACACGCACGCTTCGGAAGTGAGCTCAGCTCGTATCTCGTGGCAGGCCTTGGCCGAGCCTCACTACTGCGACTGGGCGAAATTGGATTGATGCACGGAGCAGCATGTGTGAGCACGGACCTCCGCCGATGCTGAGGTGCTACTTATGCGGACATGGTATATGCCCTGAAGGTGGCTCGGCTTTGCAATGCCACCGGCAGGGCGAGCAAGCCAAGTGCTCGTCGTCGCGTCGTGAATCAGTGCTGTGGCTGAAGCTTGCTGCTACCAGGCAAGATACCCAGAGTTCCCACCAGAAAGTGAAGGGGAGAAGCCTGCCACCTTCACAAGGGTGCCAACCCCGGAAAGCTCGTTGCGTTTCGGAAGGAATGTGCAAGGCAAAAAGGTCAAGCGCTTCTCGAGCATGGGCTTCCCACAAAGTCATCTGTGTGGCAGGTGCTGTTGAACAACTGTGCCCTGGATTGAACATGTTTTTTTGCCTGTGTGGGCTTGTGATTTCAATATATTTCGTTGACACCAGCCTTCGCGGTCAACTGGCCAAGGCCAAAACGAGTTTGAGAACATGCCATCCACGTTCGAAGCCACGGACGAGGAACGAATTAAGTTTCCCAATGTGGAGGACCTCCAATTGGAGCTGCTTCGGCTGACAAGATGGAGCTGTTGCGAGTGGTTCTGTGCAATGTGAGTATCAGAGTGCGCGAGAAGATGCAAAGTGCATAAGCATTGACCTTCCAAGTGCCGTAATTGAAGAAGTCAGATTGAGGCTGAAGCGGAAGAAGGACATGATGTTGGCCAACATGACTCTCGATGTCAGCTGTGCGAGCAGATGTATTCAATTTTGAATCCTCAGTGCAGCTTGTGCAACCGTTCAGAACAAGGAAGTTCATCGGCCACTTGTTTTTGCGGCAGCTTTTGGCAGTGAAGGCTGGGATGAAGAATGAAGCAGCATCTGCATTCGGGCCTGCGCTCCTTGTGAGGTCATTGGGCAGGTGGTACACGACCTTATCGGCATCAAGGACGGCAACTCTGTGCCAGAAGAGCACATGATCGAGTGCCTCGGCGCGTGAGCCGTAACTGCGAATGCACATGTGTCATAAGCCTTTTCGAGCTTAGAAATCGTTAAGAATGCGCAAGAAATGCTGACAAGCGGTCGCTTCAAACAAGAGCCACTTGGACATGCCAAGACATCCAAAGCAACAGGGCTTCGTCAAGATGAAACCGAAAACGCGCTTTGAGCAAGTGCTTCAACAGCCGAGGACTTCCAGGCGGTCTCGCGCTGTTTTACACATTCGTCGTTGCATGTGTTTTTTTTGCGACATGCTCGCCTTCTCTGTTGCATTATGTAATCGAGGCCACCGACAGAAGGGCATGTTGAAAGCGCATTTTTGGAGCAATTACTTCCGAGAGTATTGATTTGTTTATTTTTTATATCCGTGCCTCAGCCTGGAAGGCTTGATTCTACAATTCTTGCTGTGCAACTGTGATGGTTCTCAGGTGTGTATGCCAGCTGCTCGAGGCGGGAGATGAAAGGGAAGGACGGGAATGGCGGCTGGGCCGATGCAATCCTACGAGCTGGGCAACTACAGGCAAAAAGAGTTTTTGCGCACCTGAAGGCCATCGGGCACACTCTTGATGAGAACACGCACGGAGAAAACTTGATGAACTCCTTCCAGGCACTCCAGAGCCAGTGCCTTTCAGTCACGTTTCCGGAGTACTCACAGCGTGCAACACGCCAATATCGAGCGAGGGTAGGCCATCTTGCTGACGAAACTCGTCACTCACCTCGCCAGTTTTGATCCCCCCCAAGCCTATGCACGCTGCGCGCATCCTGTGCCACGCTGGACCAGGCTCGGCTGAAGGATTTGTCCAAGCATCTCTCGAGTGACGGCAAGCAGGCAGCCGTCTTGAAGCTGCTGGGGCCAAGCCACATGACTCTTTGCGAAGCTCGTAGTTGCAGAGTCTCTGTGTCATAAGAGGGAGACAAATTGGAGGAAGCTGGCTGTGAGATTCAACTGACACGCTGCCCTGTATTCCAATCCCTGTACAGATTGCCAGGCATTCTCCAAGCGCATCCGCTTTGCCATTGAAGACCTTCTAGATTTGCGGAAGAACAAGTGGCAAAAGATGCTGGCCTGCACTTCACGTCGGATTTTGGTGGCTAAGTAGGGGTCACTTCAGCAATGCCATTGGCACAAACACGTGTTTTTTCCAGTTGGTCTGAAAGCCGTCCTTTGTGGGAGAGCGAAGCATCCCTGCCACCAGGAAAGTCTTCAAGGAGCAAGCCATGAAAATAAATGAGGTCAAGGAGTCAGCCAAAGATTCAGCCGGGCGCATAGTGTTAGCCTGGATGGCCTGTCGACAGGGAGTTCTTTGCACCGAGGGGAAGACCTACGGCGGAAAGCCAGGTCCCGAGACTGGCTTCTCGACACATATCGCTGGACAGAAGCCATCATACATCGATGCCGGCGGCTCAATCAAAGCGTGAGCACTCGTGAGCCTTGGCGGCCTGGCGGCGTGCCCATGCCTGCGCCCGACCTGCGAAGGCAAAGCAGCGAAAGAATGACAGCTGAACGCCGCCTTCGGCCGATGTACAGAAGCCGAGTGGCCGCGTGCAAGTCAAAAGCGCTTTGTCGCTGTGTCACTCTGAAGAGTGCTTTTTGGCACGCCGGCTACCATGGTACGAAATGAGAGGAGATTGGCCCGGGAATCTCTGAAAAATCGTGTCACCGTGGCGCAGCTAAGACAGCTGATCAGCCAACCGGGAATGTTAGCTTGAAGGCCGTCTCACAAGGTCGATAGTTTGAAGGCCTTCGAAGGATCAATAGATTGAAGGCGGTCTCACATGCCTAAGCTGCTCTCATGATGACTGGTGAAGAGTTCTCGGGCAAGACAGGAAAAAGAAGCGACCGCCAGCTCGTCTTCTGATGCCTTGGACATGCACCAGTGTGCCAGATGGGAGCACTGGCCCCGCAGCTGCTGCTCCCGGGCTGCCTTTCCAGGCCGCTTAGTGTGGCTTGGCGAGGTCTCTGTTTACCTTTGAACTTGCAGGCCATGGTGCAGGCTTCTCTTCACAGTCTTCTTGACTGCTGGCCTTTTGGCGATGGCCCAGACCTTACATCGAGCCGGACTGGTATTAGAGTGTGGCACTGCCTTCGACATGAGGGCTTTCAGCGTACTGGGATTTAGGATTGCGCTTGGGTTTTGGACCTTAGCTGGGTGTTTGATCATTTCTGGCCCCGTAGGCGGTGCTTTAACCTCATCTGGCGAGTCCATGTGAGAGCGTAAAATCGAGGCTTTTGCATGGGCAATCATGCAAGGCCGGACTCCTCTTCCTTGCGGAAGTTCTTGAGGAGACCCAGAAGCGCCATGCGAGTTTCGAGGTGCCAGCTTTCAATTGTTGCAGCGCAGGCGCGGGAGAAGCGAAGACGGGAGAGGGGAAGGGAGAAGCTGGAGACGGTGGAGAGGCCGGCGCTGGCCGGCCGCACGCGTGGCAACGCTGTATATCGCAGCATCGCGCAGCCCAGGTCCGTTGAAGACTCTGCTTGGATCGATGCCTGGCTGGACAAGGCTCCTGTCCCAATGTGCAAGGCACAGAGCAGTGACTGTCGCCGGAAATTCAGGCAATTGCGCTGGCAGACGGCATGGAGGGCCCGCACGCCTGCTCAGACCCTTGGGGGTGACCTGCCGGAACAGAGCTGTAGCTGCTTTCAAGGTGGCGTGACGAGGGCCAGGAGTTGACCACAAATCTGTCGAGCAAGGAGATGTGGGCAATCTTTGACGGAAGCCATGGCTCCCGACAAGTTCTATGTGTAAGTGATGCATGAAGATCAGCTTGCGTAGGGCACCAGAGCCAGACTTGTGTCCTGAAATTGGTCGCAGGGAGCCCTGTTTAGAGTCATGACCGCCTTCCCGCATCATGGCGACAGATGAGCAGAGGCGGTTTACAGGATGCAGTGAATATCCGAAGCTTCCTGAAGTGTAACTAAGCGAAAGCAGAAGTTAAAAAGAGGTGAAAGGTTCAGCCGCAGTCAAGTGCGACGTTGGAGTCGTTGGAGTGCATGTTGCCATGTCGACCTCAAATCACCCATCAGCCGAGGCACGGGATGAGCGAACAGTCGTGATGTGTGGTTTGTCACCGTCGTGATTGTGTGCGTGCGCTGTGAACCTCAGGCGCTCAGGTCGCCTCGCCTTCGCGGGCAGTCGCCCCGCTTCGTCTCCTTGGTGGTCGGAGTCCAGCACTGCCTTATTCTGACCGTAAATTTGAAGACAGAAAGAGAGACTTCAGGTCCACGCCTCGGAGGCAGATGTCCAGGCCGCCTAATGCTCCTGTTACGGTAGTGGCCATGGCAGGATTCCAGGTTAGCTTCGATCTTCGGGTTTCAATGAGCGTGGCTTGCATCGTCGGCGAAGACGCCGTTTTTGGAACAAGAGCTCCTGATCTGAATGCTAGTTCACAGTGAGGACGGAGGTCTTTTGCTAGGGCCGCTGATGCAGCATCGGATCTGGACTCCGGCCACCATACACACTTCGAAGACTGATAAGCTGCTACGCTCTTTGCGACGCAGAATCAGAACCGCTTGCCAAAGAGCAGGACAACACCTGAGAACAGAGCCAGGGTGAACTTGCAACAGCTTATGGCTCCTCAATTTGTAACCCTCGAGTGTTGACAAGCACAGTTTTCAGAGGTGCCTTCTGAGGGGCCAGAGGGCTGCAGGCCTGCCGCAGCGTCTGTTAGGTTCCACATCCTGATGACGGGATTCCGGGATGCTGCATTTTCGACAGGCCTGCTTCTCGTCGGGAGTTGATCGATGTCACCGCTGGGGTGGCCACCCGCATACCGTGCCCAAAGCACATAGTTAAGGATGATTCAAGACCGGGACGAGTGGCCATCATCCGCTTGGCTCACTCGTTCGCTGCGCGTCTGAGGTACATCGCAGCAGCCCTGGCAGATGAGTCCATGTCTCGTCGAAGGTTTTTCAGCAACGCCAAGCGTGGTCTCACCTGCAACTCTCTACTGCATGCTGTATGTGAGGTGGAGACAGAGCAAGTCAGATGTTCTTGGCGACCATATTCCCAAAGTGCAGGCAACGGTTTGCGCTTGTACTCGCGGTTTCTGAGCTGCGCAGTGTTTTTGGTAGTTGTCAGTTGAGGTTTTAGCAGCAGCTGTTTTTGATCTGATTTGCCTGCTTGGTGTTCTGCAATTTCTTCCTTCGGCCCAAGTAGCCCAAGCAGGGTGCCCAAGCACAGCGGTCTCGCGCATCATAGCCCGATGACATGGCGCCTGGATTCACATGAAGACCTCAGCTGAGAGCTGAACTGTGCATGCCTGCACCTGACTGCTGAGGTGGTGTACCGACCCATCGTATCCGCCACAGCCAATCGCCCTGCAGCCTTCAGTCGCCCAGTCATTGGCAAGGCTAGCACAAGAGGTTCTCCAGGTTTTGCAGCGAGCAGAGGGCGATGAATGGCGAGTCTTTCAGAATAGTTGCTTGGGCAGGCATCTCAGCAGCGTCCTGCCTACAGTCTCCCGAGAAGCTTTGTGCCTATCCTCAGAAAGACGTCCACTCCGGCCAAGGATTCTCAGGCAGCCTGCTGCCTGTTCTCTATGCCCTCGCCTCTCGCGCGCCCCGCAGGTTGTGAACGAGCCCGAGCTGAAGGAGGGAGAGGCCAGAACTTAGACGTTCACGGCTGGTCAGTGCGGCTCGCACCAGCCACGGACACGCCCACCCTGAGCCGTCCTTTCGCATTCACGTCGCCTAGCGTGTACTCTGGCGTGGAGGATCCCGTCGATGAGTTTCAGGATCCTGAAGACGTGGAAGAGCCCCAGCAGCATGCACACGCAGCCAGAAGCGCTTATATCATGTATCACATCGGCTTGGCAGTTGGGTGTGCAGTTTTGCCAAGCCTTCTCATTTTCAGGATCCAGTGTTGGATGAGTTTGAGAATGTAGAGCCGAACGTGGAAGACCCGTGTCAGCAGCATTTTTTTGCAAGCATGAAGCTCAAGTTCCGTCTACCCCGGGCAGAGTGTTTTCTTTGCAATCTTTCCTGATCCTGCGTGTGCTGTTGGCAAAGGACCTTGATGCTGATGCTTTGGAGGACGCCGCACAGGAGTTGAGCGAAGACGCAGACGTGGAGGGCGATGTGACAGTCGAGGAGTTGACAGCAATACTTTCCTTGCGACGGGTGCGCCCGTCCATTTCGAGGAGACATCGCCTGCACGTGAAGACGACCTAGACGTGGAGGACCGATGGGCACCTGTCAGGGTTGCAAACGCGACAAAAGCATGTCTCGTCAGCCCTCCAGAGATCTGCAGAGCTCGCCCAACCGGCCAGGATGTGGCAGAGGACATGCGCGAAGCCGTTCAAGGCAGCATGCAGCTTCGGCGCATGCATCTTGACATGCATGCAGCCTACCTGCGGCTAGTTTCCGCTTGCCACGGCTATTCTACCTGCTTTAAAGCTTTAAATCATGACTGCACCTCTTGTCTTATGTGTCTATAGAGTCTAGTCTTGCAGGGTCCGTTGCAGTTGCCAGGCTCTTTTTACGACATTTTTGGCAGATGGAGCCAGGCATAGCCAGAACGTTGCTAGCCGACGCACACCGATCGGAGTGATCATCGTCGAATCTGTTTTTATTTGTACATACTTGTAGTTGCATGCAGCAGCACCCTTGCCCTGAACAGTCAAGACTCACTCCCTGAGGCTCTCAGGCACGGAGCAGACAGACGAGCCCGCTGCGAAGATCTGATCTCAGCTTACGAAGTGGGTGATGGGGGAGATGCTGCGTGCTGAAAGAATTTGCACTGCTGTGCCGTCACCCCCATGCTCCTCCTCATCATCATCACCATCATCACCACACAGTTTTGGGCATTTAGGAAGGAAGGTAGGTGGGTAGGTAAGTTGGTAGGTATGCGGTATTCATGTATGTATGCATGTATGTATGTATGTATGTATGCATGCATGTATAGTACATTGTGCACGCTAGGTAATAGGTGTGTATGCGGGTATGTAGGTTGCCCGGTGGTTAGTAGGCAGGTACCTGCACACACACAGTGCCCCTGTGTGTGAGGGGCGCATGCAAACGAACAACTAGAGACCATCCGATCATTGTACGACTTCAGAATGCATTAACAGTTACGTTACCCTAATGCATTAGACCTCATGGCAGATGCACATGCCGTCCTGCGCAAAGGCTGAATAGAGGGGAGAATCGAATAGGAAAAGGCGAGACAGACTAGAAAGCGGAGGTAGCAGCTCGCGCACCGATCACTCTAACAGATGCATATGCCGACCTGCACGTGTCTTGTCCGACTGCTGGACAAGGGGGCCCTGGTGAGATCAGATAAAGGGGGCTTCGGACTCAAAACGGGAGGCCTCATGAATACAAGTTGAACGAGTCAAAGGGGAGAGAGAGAGAGAGAGAGATGGTCCCCGAAGGGTGAATCGGATCCCCTTCAACGAGGACTGCCTCCAATGGAGACCACCACGGCGCCGTGATGGATAGCCGTTGTTAACACACTGAGAAAATGTTCGTGCACTCACGGATGAATGTCTCACGTTACACAGGATGAAATACGGTGGTGTTGGTAATGGTGATGATAACGAAAGTGCAACAAGGCCCGTAAGCTCAAGGCACTTATGAAATGAAAGTTTTGTGCCAAGCATGCCAGACATCAAGAATGGNNGGGTAAGGTTTCTGCCCCTTGCTACGTCAGACACAAAAAAGAATGACGTAGCACGAAATGAGATGGAAGATGAACGAGGGTGAGGGTCCCGCCAGCTGTCCACGACGGGGCCCAGGCGCAGACCGACGCAGGTACGTTACCTGAGTTTTGAGGGAAAGCTTCGTTGGGCGGAGCCCCCTCACACCCCCTCCGCCCCCCTGCAGAAAGATGGGTGGTGAGCCCTTTATCTCATGAACGAGAGAAGTGCACACACACACACACACGCACATCCTCTCACGCCCGCAATGTGCATGTACATGTACAGAGAAATATGAGCAATGTACAAACTTTCTCTCCCTCGCCCTACATACGATCTTGCTCAGGAGGCACAAGGGAGAGGCAGCCGTGGAATTGGATCCCGAGAAGCGGAGACCTCGGCTTCCATTTTCCGGACGGGCTTACTCAACTGCTGCTTAACATTTGCATGTTCGCACTATCCTCGGGCGATCAGAGTGCAGTTCTTGACATTCCAATTTACCAGAATCCGAGCCCAAGCGAGTTGTTTTCGATCAATGAATTTGCCGTTGAATGCTGGTGCTGGTTCGCCTGCACCGACGTACATGAACCTCGAAGGACCTTCTACCAAGTGGTTATTTGGGTACTATAGAGGTAATTCAATCTCGGATTGCAGTCCTGGTCCTCAGGGCACAGCTCCTTTCTCGCTGGGGGTTGTCAGCCGAACGGGCGGTGCGCTACGTGATGCAGGCCATCCCTGGCAGGGAGGGTTCCGGTGTTCGATCCTGGCCCCGGAGCCATCAAAAGTGATTCATCGGGATGCGGACAGGATGCGCTGCCGTTTCAATTTGCTGATCTTGCGGCTTAAGTTGTTGGGGTTGAAATTGCAAAAGCTGATCCCAGGATGGGTGAGCTAGGCTTGCTTTCTCGGTCGATGGCTACAGGTTTCAGAGACCCAGTCTTTTCTAGTCGCTTGCCAAGCTCCCGCCGACATGATGCACAGACAGGCGTGGAGTGCAGCACATACAGAACAGTCAGATGAGAGTGTTGCGCTGTGTGCCACTGTGTTTTGCGCCTGATCGTGGCTCTGTGGCTGGAAATCGCTGCGAAAGACACCTGCCCTGCGGGTCTAGGAGTCGAGCTCTGCAGCTGGCTTGAGCGAGAGCTTCTTTTGCATTTTGCTCACGGCCGCCTAGCCGACGTGCTCCGCAAGCACAAAGCAAGCGCACCTGGCAGAAAGCCTTCGGATGTAAACAGGAGCTCCTGAACCGAGCATGTCTGGCACATCCTGGCACCAAAGAAGATGTGTCAGGCAGCGGCAATTGAGGAGATTCGAAAAGTGGTCGCCGCAGGTTGGAGGCACAGGGTCACACATGAATCCGCCGAACTCTGCACCTTCGTCAACAGACTGTCCCTGCATCGCAAGGCCTCAAGCTTGGGCACCTCGTGCAGATGGAACCCACAAAACTGCGGCTGAGCAGCTGAATGAGCATCCAAGCTGCAAGAATGTGCAGACAAGGAGCTGGCGTTTCCATTGCCTGCTTCTGAGGACCATCTTAAAGTTCCGGGAGGACCTGTGTGCTGTGAGCAGCTTCATCCTGGACGATGCATTAGCTAGTGCAGCTAGTGTGATTGAGGATGCCTTTGGCCCGTCTGGTGGACACCAAATTGATGTGGTCCGGGCCTCATCTGTCCGACTGGCAGGTGCAGTCTGGTTGAAAGTGGTGGCCTGCACAGAGCACTGCTTAGGTCTCTGCGTTTGCGCGGAGGTGGGACCTGCCAGCTGCAGATATCGCGGTGCTCCGGAAGCTGTCGCACAAGGCGCTGGCGGGTGTAATATGCAGATATGCAGGACTTATGCTATGCATACGGAGCGTTCCGGGCCGAGCGGCCTTCTCGCAAGGGGGTATGGAGTAGGCTGGGGAGATGGGCTCGCTGGTCCTGTAAGCTTCGATAAGGGATGCCAGAGCTCGCAGTGCTTGACTACCTACAGCTACAGTACTTGAGAGCTGGAAGTGCAAATCAGCTGATAATATCGATGCCATCTTCTGCAAATGTGGGCAAGAAAGCAACACGAGCTTGCAAAGCATGCCTGGCAGACTTTAAGAGCAGTGCCCGTAGCAACAGCCAAAATAAAATATCCGGCTCAGGACCTGCGGCATGTCATGAAGGAGATTTCGGGTCTCGAATCATCGGGCATAAGCCGGCATAGTGCGGCGGCACCGCTACACTGTCGTGCGTGCAGCTGTCACGGTGAAGTTTCTGAAGTCTGAGGTTTTGAGATGCATTACGGATCAATTGAGCTTCAGGAGTTTGATGGCACCTCCTCCGTGTCGCAGCTCTCAGAGGAAGCCTCCTTGCTGGTACCCGCCGAGGAGCTTGCGCGAGCCCGGCCGTTCATGCCGGATCTCTCGGTGTTTTCGGAAACGGCAGGACGTGGAGCGGACCGAGGAGGCGGCCGCCGAGAAGCCCGGACCGCTGACCTGCAGCAGGTGCCTCCTGGACGTCGAAAAATACGATGAGAGGTCTGTTGTTATGAAGAGGGGATGGCTTTCTGTCAGGTTTAACCGACTGGAACTCATCAACCCCGTTGATGACGCTCTTGTGGCCACTGGGCCAGCAAGCCTGTGCCGGAATTCTGCGTGTGGGCTATACGGCTATGCTGTGCTAATGGCCTGGCAACATATTTGACTGTAGCTGTAGCTCTTCTCACTTCAGTCTCTGTTATTATCACTACTCTTCTTCTCAAAGCAAGAAGAGCCTGATGGCTGACGAAATTGCCAGTTCATCGCCGTGGTCCGCTTCGCATAGTTATGAGCATTTGTTTTGGCCCTGAAGGTAGGTGACGCCAACCTGACGTTCTCTCAGTTGCTTGCGAAGCATCGTGAGGCCAGAGACTTTTTCCGACTTCTGAAATCAGAGACTGATGGGGCAGGCTTTGGGTCACGTCGGCCGCATCGTTGCCACCACATTCGAGACGATCGAAGTCTTGCGCTCCCTGGTTGCAGAGCAGCCACGGTCTTCACTTTGTCTTTTGATGGCAAAGCGAAATCCCTGTCGCCGTGCAGGTGAACGCTATCCCGAGATTGAGAGCACTGTCAAGGAATCCACTATTGCGATTCTGTAGGGGGAGAAGGAGGAAGAGGGAGCTGCGTGATGTCACCATCCTTTCGCCTCACAGCGCCATCGCAAGGAGTTGCGAATAGTGTGATGGAAGACAGTGTTTCTTGCATCCACAACACTGCTACGCTGGAACGGAGGAGCTTGAGGACAGGCATGCAGAAGTCCTGCACAATGTGGATGGCACCCGGCTTGCTGTCGATCCGCGTTTCCAGGCGGGTGGGCCCTGGGCTTGAGGCATCCAGGCTGTCAAGGCTTGGGCAGCTTCTGCGGTCTCCGACAGCTAGAAACACAAACCTTTGAAGACAAGCCTGGTGACCTGGTGTTGCAGGAGTTTGTAGTTTGTAAGGCTTGATAGATTGAAGACTTGCCGTCGCCAGACATGTGCAGGGAATGGAGAACAGCTTTGGGGCAGTCTACTACAACTTTCCACATGCCGGAGTGGTGCAAGGCTTTTTCGATGGCCACCCTTTTGTGAGCCGCGTGGCGGCAACAGCGGCAATGGCAGAGCCTCAACGAGACCCCATCGAAGGGATGTGGATTTTCATGTGTTTTCAGGATGGCGACATGAGAACTTGATGCACCTCTTCTTCCGGGTGGGGGGGGGGGGGACATTTGCTTGGCAGTGCCATGCCCGCACATTGCTCGTGCATTTTCCTGCCACACGTGCACCATGCAGGCCTTGCGAGGTTTCGTGAAGCCCGGTGGCGTGGTGAAAGTTGCCTCCAACTCCAATGCCACAGGACGATGCATGTTTCGGCATGTTCTTCTTCGGCTTTCGAGTTTGCCATGTGCTCTCAATGACCGCGACCTTCTGCTCTCAGGAGTTCGGCTCCTTGCCTCATGTTTGCAACCGCGAAGCCCGAAGATCGTCAGCTAATCAGCTAAGGTTTTCCGATATCCTGAGCGGAGCACAAAACAGTGCCTCACTATGCATCCTAGCGGTCAAGGGGCCTAGAATGTTGTGAGATTCGCAGATCTTGTTCTGTCTTGCTACTCTAAGGTGAGTTCCTTCACGTCGAGACGATGCCATTTCTCGAGTGGAGCCTGAGGCCGGTCCTGTGGTGGAACATGAACGGAGAGCACCCACGTTTTGACTGGGCCCCTACCCCGTCAGTCGGGTGTGAGAGTTGTGTACAGTACGGCACACTCGTCATTCAGCACAAGTGGAACCACAGTGCAGGTACTACCATCGGTCTTATGGGGATCGGCGAGATTCCAACAGACGTCCAGATGAGAAGGCTTGCGGATTGCGCATATCCGCTTCCTCTGTCCGGTGTGAGTGTGGAGGAAAACTACCGATGCCAGTCCAAGGGCTCCGACATGGCCTGCGGCCCAGTAGGCTGTACGACTTAGCAAAAGAGCTGCAGCAGCGAGGTCTACACATTCCGATACGAACCAAGTGGCAGTGTTCCACCCAAGGCATTGATAAGGCATGTGCTGCTGGCACAGACATGCACATGCATTGGTTTACAACAGTGCGCTTCAGTCAGGCGCCCGCCAACGAAGGACGATCTGTTCCTCTCGAAAGAGGGCAAAATGCCAATGAGTCAACTCCTCTGTTTGCATCTTGCCATTTGTCGAGCTGAGGCCGTAGAGCTGCACATGCAGAGTTCACATGCCTGCTGAGGTGCCGAGCAAAAGCGGCAGAGATTGGAGGACAGCCTGCAGTGGTCTGACTAATGATCTAGCAACAAATGCAACAACCGACTTTTTGCGACTGCTGATTGAAAGGATGCCTCTGAACATCATCTGCTTTCTTTGCTGCATTCTACCCAAAGAAGATTTCAGTGCATTCCTATAGGCCCCAGCATCCAAAGCCAACAGCTGGGTGGCCAGTGATGATTTTGCAGTCTTGGTGCAAGTTACCGCTAATGCGTTCGTTCATTAACGGCTGCACACATTGTCTGGTGTCATATCGTCGCATCACTTCTTAAAGAAGCGATATTTCCTCAACGTCCGGGCTGCACTGCGTGGACCTCGTAGATGACGACGGGAAGAACAGGTCAGGGGAGGCTGATGTGGACATGAGTAGACGGGATCGCGTGCATCGGTGGCAAAAGACCCTCGTTAATCTGGCATGCATATCCGGGACGGAGAGGGTCATGGCACCGTGCCCGCAGCAACAAAAACAGCCACATACGAACGCACACCTACTTCGAATGGCCCACAGACACAGGCCGAAAAAGAAGAGAGAGAGAGAGAGAGAGAGAGAGAGAGTGAGAGAGAGCGAGAGAGATAACCCGAGCAAAGCGAAGCAAAGAGATAAGACGACTCCCGAAGCAGCAAGGGGACGTTCACGCGGGGCTAAAGCTGTGACTTGGCTGCTGCAAACGACAAACCGGACACGGACTGAGACTGAGGCGTAGCGCTTAGGCGCAGGGGGTCGGGAGCGTGCTTCCCTGTCCCCAAACGCCCTGCAAGCAAGCAAGCAAGCAAGCAAGCAAGCAAGAGATAAGTCGCTCGCCCTTTGCATGGAGTGATAGGCACGACTAGCTGAAACCATGGGAAAGCGAAGCGGACGAGGAGTGGTTTATGCCTCTGTTATCGTTGTTACTCTCGCTGTTCGCTGTGCCCCACTGTTTCAGCCCACCCCGAGTGCAAGGATCAGCGACATACCCTTTTGCAGTTAATGAGCATCCTCCAAGCGGGAACGCAACCTGTGACTCCCAGGTCTTTCTCACAATGTGTTGCGGCGATATGCGAAGCCTGCTCTCTCGCTGCATGCTGCATCGCTAGGCCCCAATTTTCCCATGCCATGATTTGGCAGGACGCCTCGCGCCCATGTGCCCTACCCTGCGAGACTTGTTGTTGCTTAAGTCGTCCTGCAGAGGATCCACAATAACCACAGACTTGGGCTGGCTTCTTTGATCGGCACTTCTTGGTCTTCGCCTCTGAAAAACGCGGGTTCTACCTGTTGGCTCCCTCAAAGGCTGCTCTGCCATTTTGGGGAGCCAGGACACCACACACCCGTTCCCATACCTCCCAGCCACGAGGTGAAGCAGTCTCACGTTTTGCTCAGAAAGCCCTGTCTCTGCGCCTTGGTGACGAGTCTTACCCATGAGCAGAAGAGAGAGTATGATCAGAGACAAAAAGGCAAACATCGGTGCCTGTGTCACCACACATGTTGGTCTAGTCTGTGCCTTGGATGAAAGTTGAGCATGTTGCTGACATAGCGCTTTGCTGAGCAGGAGATCTATGAGCTTTTCCTCTCGTATGTCCAGGGTATCCACGTTGGGTGAGTGCAGCCTCTGATGTCTCACTGTTTCTCTGATGACCATCAGCGCATGAGACAGCAAGCCGGCGAGTCTCATGGCCGGAGCCGGAGCAGAACGACGTCACCTTCTGGAACTCGGTGGCCAAGCTCACGGCGGGCGAAGATCGGGCCCTGCTGAGTATCTGTATGTGTCGCCGGAAAACCTGGTTCTGCTCAGTTTTTCAGTTTCATGGGCATATTCGGCAGTCGCATCATGGATTGAACAGGTCTTCATGCCCACTGGCTGCCATATCGGCATCCTCGAAGCTCTTCTAGGCAAAGCCCGGACATGCAAGAACCTGACGCATACTTCTTTTGGCAGCTTTTGCAGGCCGGCTGGCTGTGGATTCTCACTGTGAGGCAGGACGGCAGGACTGGCCTTGCGCGAAGTCGTGCGAAGTTGCCAGGCCCGCCTGACAGCGCTTTGGCACCCTTCTTCCTTGACAGAGGTCCTGCAACTTGCGCAGGCTGCCAAGAGTTTGATAGGCTGAACCCATCGATGCGATAGCTGAGAGACTTGCAGGTTGCATCAATGCTCCAGATTGACGAGGTAATGCCTGAACTGGTCGGTCTTGTTTCAGAGGCGCGAAGACTCACGGTCGAAGCAGCCTGCAGTCGCTTGAAGGGCTTTCCTTGACTATCGCATTGAGGCTATGGCGAGTGGGGCCGATGCAGCAGAGCTGGAGGCCCGGGCACCGTGTGCTTAGTGGAGCCTCAACCAGATCAGCCGCAGGCCGCATGTGAGCGGCTGCAGTCAGAGTCTCGGTCCGAGTGACCTGTGACCGCGATATCTCAAAGGACTCAAAGGAATTCTAGCCACAAGTCTGTAAGCTGAAGCTGTTTCGGCTCAGGTTGGCATGGCCATGCATGTATCAAATCGTGTGGAAAGCAGACCAAGACCTGTTGCCACTTTAGGTTTGCGATAGGCTTGTCACGGCGCTTGTCACGGCACTTCTGACCTGGGCAAAAGAGAGTTGGCAACCGAGTTGGCAGATACCAAGAGCTCGGAGGCGCCTACTGAGACAACCCGATAGCCTGCCCAGGACAGGTCTCTTGTCCTTCGAAGCCAGAAATGAACACACCCTACAGCGAGTGAATTCTTTGGGGCCTCGGGGCCCTCCCACCCTGAGCGCGACGCTACCTGCTTTTTCAACCGCAAAACTAATCGAATCACTCGGTCGCGAGTAGCAATAACAACATATAACAGCCGTAAACCCCCAGCCGAGCCCATCGTGACGTACTTTTCCCCTCACGAGCACACGTTCGGACTCACTTGGCAATGTCTGCGCCTCCACCTTTGCATCGGCGGCATTTGCTGCTGTGCGGAGTGCTGGGCGGCGCATCAGGGCGCTTTGTCTAAGGATTCGCCGTACTTATCCGGAGCCCTAAATCCCACCAATCCGATCTTGCAGATCCGCTCCGTGCCTAGAGTCCAGACTTCGAGGCTGCTGGCAGCCTACGGTCTCAATGCCTATCGTGGCTGAGCAGCAGTTTGCAGAACCATGCAGACCCCTACGGCGGCCGCACTGGCATCTTCTTATTATGCTGTCATGCCCTTGCCAGGAGACCGAGGGGTCGAGGTCCTACGCAGATATGCAGAGGCTAGGCGAGAAAAGCTGCCACTGAAGATTATACTAGTTCGAGTCTCGGATGCGTTTGAAATCGTCGCCATGCAGCCATCTGGGCCTGATGTTCTTCTCTCGACTAAGGACATGGCCAATCAGAAGGGAGGCCTGCTTTCATTGGCAGTCGTAACCGTGAGTATGATAGGTTCTTCCGCGAAGACCTTGCAACGGAACTGTGGCTTCTCCAGCTCCCGGGTTGGGTCGCGGTCGGAGAATTCCGACTCACTCTCTGATCCATGGAGCCAGCAAAGGAACCTTGACAAGACGCTGTTCAAAACGAAGGGCGATAACCTCATGGAACTCACTGAGTCCTGCCCTGAGATTTTTCAAGAACACACAGGCCGAATTCTCACCCAGAACACCGCTACACTGCTCCTGTGCCGATGTTTTCCTGTTCTGGCTCTGTGCTGCAGAGCTTTCGTTCAGAGGCTTTCATGTGGCAGTGGCTCTAGTGGGCTTTGGCGATCTACGGTGGCAGAAGCAGCCAACACAACCCGTAAAGTTCCTGAAGAACTGCCTGCCCAAATCAGCCAAGAACCGGTCCTACTGCCTAGAGGCTAACTCTAGACACTAGGGAATTTTGCCACTCTCATGAGCCGATGGTGAACGGACTCAGGGTTCCTGCAGTCAAGGTTGGGGAGCAGACAGGCGGTGGCTGTGGGCAAGCGTGTCAAGAAGGTTGTACATGTGCCTTGGCAAGTCAGAGAATTCCAGTGACCGCATGCTGGGATTCAGCTCCAGCACAGGATGAGAAGGTGCACTTCTACGTTTCTCCTTTTCAACGAACGTTGCAAACGGTGAGGGGCCCAGGGCTGCAAACGCACGATGCATGTCGCGACTCGTGTTCTGGGAACTGGGCAGCCGAGGCCAGAAACATGATCTTCTCCGCTTTCGATCCTTACCAGGTTGTAGATGTCTCTGTGGATCCCAGAATTCGTGAGCAAGAGTTTGGAAACTTGCAAGGCGTGGACGGGCACCACATTGGGCTAAGATTCCTAACTCGTGCCAGCTCTCTCGCGGTCTATCGCTCGATTGCACACACGAAAACCAGAGAGGTGACAACTTCGTCGGCCTTCGTCAAGAGAGCACAAAGATCAGAAGATTTTGGTTCCTTGGAGAAATTGCAGAGTAGGCGGATGCATGCGGTATAGAGTAGGAGTTCTGCGATAATTTGGGTTTTTACTGCGCACTGGAGAGACGCAGTGGGAATGCAATTCTCCGTGGCGCGGGAGTTGTGTTTCAGATTCTGCTCGGAGAATCCCCAACGATCAAAGACCACGCAACGGATTATCTATCCCCGAAGACGCCGGGACGACCATGACGGCCACGAGCACCGCGACGACCAACACAACCAAGACGACCAGGACCACAAGAACCACCAGTCACTGTTGGGTGCCCTCAAAGTTCAAAGGCTAGGCCACGCTTTGCCAACCACTTGCAGGTCGTGCTTGAAACGCACATGTAACTGAGCTTTCCCAATCAGACGTCTTTACAAAAGACCAACAACCTAGCTAGCTCAAAACAGAAAGCCTTCCAACACACTTGCGCCGTAGCTAGCCCAAAACAGAAAGGCTTCCAAAACACTTGCACCGGAGCTAGCCGGAAGCAGAAGGCTGTCAAAGAGCTAGTGAAATCACTCCTAAAATACTCCCAAATCACTAAAGAGCTAATCGGGGCTTCTACAATGTTTACCACGAACAGGAAGTCACAACACCAGTATCCACACGACGACCACGATGACCCGTGACTAGGGCATTTTGAGGGCGCAACACCCAGAGTTGGTCGCCCCGTAAATTTAGAGCACCACAAACAACAGCCCGAATAGCGTGGCGCTGCTAGGACTGCAAATTTCGAGCGTTTCGAAGGCAAAACGAAAGCCATTGTATTGGAATTTACATTGAATCGGAGTGAATCGCGGGACTCCGGAGGACGCACAGTTGAAAGACAGCACCGCGCCACAGTGGGAGCTACGGAGCCGCCGTGGGTGCTGCCAAGTAGAACAATACTGCCTTAGACTGAGAGTAAGAAGAGCCTGACGCCTGGAGCGGTGGTTTGGCAACCACAGAGAAGTGCAGTGCTTTGGCATTCCCCATCTTTAGGTATCGCTTTCCGACTGGGGAGAGCGGTGCTGATGTCTATGACAGAACCAGACAGTGGTGGGATTCGATGATGGATAGCAGCTTGGTGAAAGCTGAGTTGTTCATTGTCGCGAAGATTCTGTCGACTCGCGCTACATTCTTTCACTGTTGCGGCAGTTCCGTTCCGCCCTGATCTGCGTCTCACTTGGTCATCAGGACACCTGATGGAACAAAGCGGGGCCAGCTCCATTATAGTTGTTACCCACGGATTGACCATGCGGCTCATCTTGATGCAGCTATTCCACTGGTCGCCCAACACCTTTCACACCGTTTGGCAGCTCCACTTGCACAGCAAGCCTTTTCTGTCGAAGGTTTTTTTGCCTGCTGTCATGTTGGTCGAGCAAGAACTGTAAACCGTTCCACATGTTGAGCCGAGGAATCCCGACAACTGTGCGATGTATGTTCTGCAGAAGAACATGTCGAGCTCAGCTCATTATCCTTATTTCGTTGATGAAGCAGAGGGCGACCGCATAATGTCTTCTATCGATCTTGCACAGCCCTCAGAGCATGGACTGCAATCCTGCGATTTTGCGGCCATTCCGGCCGTGCAGATCCGTGCAGCAGCGCAGGCGGCCTTGTAGCGGCACCGTCAACTGACCATGAGGTTGTCACGTTTCAAGACAACTCGACGAAGCAGTTGACGATGGTCGATTATCTGTCCATTCCACCGCCACGTACTCTTCAACTTCCGAACCTTAGCCCTTTCTGGCCGTACTGGTTACAGGAGCTTTTGCAGAAGGTGCTTCTGCTTGTCTGTGCAATGCTCAGGGCGGTCAAGCAGCTCCTCGCTGAGCAGTTTGGCTTTGACCCTCTCGATATCAAGGGCATTGATGCTTGGGCCATGCAAGAGTTGTTGAGGTCTAGGCTGTAGCATGCTGCAGCAGCAGCAGCACACCAGAAGGTGTTGCGTGTTACCGTGATTTTGCTTTTCGGTTCGATTGGGTGGCGCACAATATCTCCCCTCCACGCGTTTGGTGGCTGCGTTTGTGGCTCCCTTTGGCCTCCTCGTTCTCATCGGTCGAATTTCAGGGGAAACTAAATAAAAGCGTGCTACTCCCACCGGCGCTGATTATAGTGTAGACCGTCCACAGCTGTCGCTCGGGAAGGTGGCATCTGGGCTTGGATATTGAACTGGATGTGGTCTTCGTCCGAAAGCCTCTGCGCATCGTCGTCGCCATTCATTGGTCAACTCGCTCCAGTCGAGCGGCCACGACCAGTGGTTCATAGTTAACAACTGGCCTAACGCAGTTGCGCTGCCTACGAGGTCTTTTTGACACGACTACTCGCGGGGTGGGAAGGGATTTAAGTTTCAGGGATGGCAGGGATGCAGTGGCAGGCGCTATGTTTGTGTGCCCATCCGGATGAATGGTTGGAGTTAGAAGATGTCATGATGTAATGAGAGAGTGTGATGAACTCGTTGTGTAACTCTTTCTACGACCATAGTTGGCGCCCGAAGAAATCAGCCACGCAGCACGGGAGAATGTAGGAAGCTCTTGAGCGGTTTCCTCGACGAGTGCATGCCTTCACTCAAGAAGGCAACTGCGAAACCACATGTTCAATTTACGGTCGCAACATGTCACAACCAAACGGGTGACTAGATCATTGCCGTGTGTAAAGCTGGTAATTGCAGCTAGAGCAACAAAGGAAGCAGTTGCAGGACCAGAGTAGGAGATAGTAGGAGGAGTCATTGGCCACCGTCGGAGTAGCAGAGTTTAGAGTTTTAGCAATCGCGGCATCACCAACCAAGGACTTCTACAACGGAATCTTTCAGCGCTTCAAGTGATCAGTAGACTGCTCTTGCCATCATAGCCCGAGCACAAAGCTGCAAATGGCCGCAGCTCTAGCTACACACCAGCAGCACTTATCGCTTGTAGTGGAATCTAAACTTCGACCTGCCTCGTTGCATGCTGAAGTTGGTGGAAGATCACTGAGCTTGCAAGCCACAAGGGCTCCAGACGGAGGTGCCGAGAACACGGTAGAAGTGCCGCGATCGCAACTCTTCGTAGTTCCTCAAAGCGTGAGACAACTTCGAAGTCAAAAGGATGCACCTCTGGCTGAGGTTCTTGTCGCTGAGCCTTTTGAAGAGCTTTGGGAAAGTTCTCTGTCGGAGGCTGCCTCCAAGCATACAGGACGTCGCCGCAACAGCGAGGCGATGTCAGAGTGGGGCCGGGCGGGGGGCTCCCTTCGTTGGATCCGCTAGGCCGAGCTGTGAGCCCGCGGGCCTACCTCACACAGATCAAGCCAGACCCTCAGCTCCCTGAGCTCCCTGAGCTCAGGCTCTGAATTCTAACAAAACCCGAGACTCCAAGGTGCGAGGAATGATTTCCAGCGCACTCCATACAGCAGATGGCAAGGTTCGGAACTGCCGGTTTGCGCTGCAACAGGTCCGTTCTACCGGGACCACGGATCCCAGTGGTCCAAGTACTGCCAGATCTCCGTGGCAGGTTTGGCGAGTGGTCCAAAAGGTGATTGACCGGCGGGAGGCATGGAGTCAACGCATAGTGCGTAGCCAAGCGCAGCACGAGGCATGCTGCACAGCCTGTGCTTCAGGCTTGGCCACGGCTCGCCAAGGAGAATGCGGGCATGCTGCTTGTCGCAGTGGAGTGCATGCTATAGCCAGGGCGACTAGAGTGGATGACCCGAGGCTGCTGGGATTCGCATCGGACTTAGTGGAAGAAGAAGGCAGGCCAGTCCCTGAAGCCTCGGCTCCCGAGGCACAAGGTGCGCATGGGAGCATACGAGCGACCCCTCACACTGGCTTCTTCTGGGGTCGCTCGTTGGCGAAAGCTTTGCAGTCGCAGTTCGTTTCCAGGCCTGGCAGGGCCCCACGCAGCCTCACTCAGGAAGTCGTGATTTCCTCTACTTGGTCTGCCGATATATACGAGCCAGGACAGTACCAGATCCAACTGCGTGCCAATCGAGTTGGTCATCCCAAGTTGTGGCAAGAGGCCTGAGATCTTCGACGCGATGGTAACGGCCATGTTTGAAGAGGCACGGGCAGTGCAGCATGATATCCAGCTTCCAACCCGCCTGGCTGGGCAGGTGTACAGCATGGACCCCGAGTTACCAGCTGAGGTGATTGATGCGGTCTTTAAGGACGCGGGAGGTTTGTCATATTGGGCTAGTCGGGGCAGTTGCTCTCGGAAGGAGCTGCTGGTCCACGAGGGCCTCACGTGCGCACGCAGCAGCTCGCTCATTTTGCGTAGATGTCACCCGTCAAAAGGTTTGCACAATGCGAGCACGTGATTGACAAGCTGATGCAACGAGGAGAGCAGATCGAGCCTGCACCCCAGCTGGGACCGCCATGGGCGATTGTGCTTCAACCTTCAGCCTGCAAGGTATCTTTTCCACGAGTGGTCTGGCGTGTTTCCGGCACTGCCTGCAGCTGCGCGACAGGCTCTGGCCAAGGCACTGCGCTCAGGGCATGTCATAGTGAATGAAAAACACGTTTCGAAAGTGTGCGGTGGGAATCCGGGAAGATCCGGCAAGCCGGCCATCTCAGTTTAAATCTGGTTCTTTTCACTGCAGGGCCTCTTGCCCTCGGTCGGTCGCTGTCCCCATGCTGCACTGGACTTTGTTCTAAAGGCGGGCCCGGTTACACTGGGAGATGACCGTAAAGCTTAGGGCAGGGAAGGTGTCCGACCTGCACCTGAAGCCTTGGGGCCTTAGGGCATGGCACTCTCACGTTTGTGCTCCTGACGCGGAGGAGCTGGATGCCTTACCGCAGCCGGAAGGCCACCGCAACGACTTTAGCATCGACTCTACCGTCAATCGGTTAGTTACCGTTTCCTCTCGTGTCTGCCGGCGGACCCATTTTTCGGTATCGTCGAAAGTTGAGTAAAAAGGGAGGGCCTCAACCAGATGCCGCTTATGTGATGTGTAAAACATGTATACAAACAACCACATGTATCTTATTAAAATTATGAATTGCATTAATGATAAAGATAATTACAAAAATAAGAAGAATAATACTAAAATAAGAATAGGAATAATAAAAATCATAATCATAATCATAGTAAAAATAATAGTAATAAGAAGAAGGATAGTAATAGTAATATGAATAAAAAAACATAATAATAATAAGAATAATAGCAGTAGTAATAACAATTATAATAGGATTATATACATATTATTTATGACAAGGCACATCGTCTGATTTTCTGTGCTTTGTCCTGTCCGAAGGCTGCGCCAGACACACCAATGCTTGGTGGTGGTGGTATTATGTGCCGGGCGCCCACCGGAAATCAACAGCTAGCGACTATCAGGATCTAAGCGTCTACCAGCCTTCTGCATTTCAAAATGCATTCTCGAGGAGCTTTGGTTGCATGCGCCGCCGGCAGCGCTGGAGAAAGCGCTGAGGGCACTACGACCCAACCAGCACGATGGGTTTTAACCCTTGCAGTAAGCATGTACAGACTGTCTGCCTGCACGCAATTAGTTGAGTCTTGAAGCCAGCCGGGATCAGAGGCGTGGGTGGGTCTGAGTTCGTGTCCAGGATTTCAAGCTCTTTCCTTCTTTGGAACTTGCGCCAAGAACTTGCGCTAGCTGCATCCGGCTGCAGCTGTAGTAGATGAGAATGCAGCATCGCTCTTCCTACAGCTTTGCCATGCGTCAGCAGTGCCTAGAAGCTAGGTGCAAGGCTTTCGTCATCGGTGATTCCGATGTCGTGGTGTTGTTGTGAAATTTGCACTGCGGGAGATCTTTTCATGTCAGATATGAGATGAACACCACGGAAGTGATGACATCTGTGTCAGGACATGGGAACTCGCTTCCCGGCTTTTCGCGGCATCGTGGAGGCTTCAGGCTCCATCCCGACTCCCAAGTTGCTGTCCACGTATTGGCGAGCTAGGCTACAGCCAGGGCATCACGGCATGAGTTTCATCACAGCGGCTCAAGCCTGAAGTTGGTCTGCGGTTTGTCTTTGGAGCTGCATGGCCCCAAAGTCGAAGTCGAAGGCTCTGGGCAGTCAGTTCTTGGAAGTGCGAGCCAAGTGTGCTGCCCTTGACAGTGCAAACGACCGGCCAAAGCCAAACCGGCCGGGGCCGAGTTCCCAGAGTCCCTGCGAGTCCCTGCGAGTCCCTTCAAGCAGGGCGAGTCCTTTTGCAGGGGTCGATTTGTTTAAACAAACCATCCAGTTGCTAAGGTGGCGCGGCGAGCTAAGTTGCGATGGCGGCTCCTTTTCAAGCAGCCCGACCCGCGGGAAAGCCGCGGAAAGGTGAAGGCCCGCCTCTCGATGGAAATTTCGGCAAGTTGCGGGACGTGCAGCTTGATGAATTTTCCGGGCTTGTGAAAGGGTGGGAAAGTCCGGGAAAATCGCCGAGCTGTTGTACCTGCACCTGCGCCCGTACGGGACAAGGTGAGGACGCTCTGAGCTTGGCAGGAAGGGGCGTCAGTGCAAGCTGTTGCACAGGCAGTGCCACAGATTGCCTTGGCTGAGCCGACCTCGAAGAGAATCAAGAGCGACAGGGAGGTGCAGGCAGCCTGAAGTTTGGATTAGCCGTACATCGGGGTGGGATGTGCATTGTAGAAGCATGCGGTAGCGAACTGGACTGCGAGCCGCCGAGCGTGCAAGCACAGCATGCACAGCCAATGAACGCCAAGTTGTGCCCTGATGTGAAGCCTGGGTGGCTCAAACCAGTTGCGATTAGCAACTGGTGTTTGGCTTTCCCTGCCGATGTGGCATCTTCTGCTGCTTGGCCTGGCATGCGGATCTGCGCAGCCAGTCAATGAAGTGGGGTGCTCAGCTCAGCAATGTGGCGTTGGCTGAATTGCCACGCACAAGGTCCCGCCGACACCACAGCTGCCACTAATAGGACGTAGATGGGCCAAGAGCGATAAGGCAATAACACCTAGTCGCGAGCATCCAGTGTGCGACGACAGCAGGTTTTGGCATCGCTCAGGCTGCAACTTTGTCAATGGCATGTTTCCCAGATGGGGGCCATAGTCCCAGCCGTCAATCACGAGCAAGCTGGCAGTTAAGAAATAGCGTCCAACCGCCGAACCACCACTTAACTCGGCTCAACAGAACACTCCCTTCGACGATTGGGCCCTTTCTGCTTTGAGTTGTAGTTGTAGTCTTCAGGCGCTGTTGCACCTCGCGTGGAGGGAGTCGGTCCGAGCTTGAAAGGCCATGGACTATGACTAGGACTAGGATGGCATAGGATGACAGGAGTGTTCAGAGTCCGAGTATTTTTTGGGGGTTGGAGTTGGCACGGAATCGCTTTCGCCGCCTAGGTGGGCCTCAGCCTGGCGAAGGCTTGGGGCCGCGGGTCGCGAGATTCCCGAGTCGCGAGCGCGCCATTTTAGACGCTGCGCGGGCTCTCCCCAGGCTGGAGCGGAGTCCCAGGTGCAGGCCCAGGCAGCCGTCGACTCTTGGCACCGAGGTTGAGCTAGGGGCTCCCGTCCAGAGATGCGGTGATTTTGCGTTGTGGCAAGGTGCAACTGTTGGAAATTCTGCAAGTCATACAGATGTCGCACCTGTGCCATGAGAGATCTTCAGGCCCAAATGACTGGCCAGCTGCTTCTAAAGCAGCAGCAGTATGAAGCGGCAAAGCTGAAAATGGAGCAGCTCTCGCGTCAGGCCGAATTTCAGTTTTGGAATTTCCCGCAGCCTTCGCGAGCTGTTGCAACAGGAAGAGTCATACTCACGTCGTGCTGAGATGATGGCTAAACAGGAATCCAGGTGCGCGGGGTTTTGAAGCACCGGGGTCTGTAATCGCATGCTGCAGCTGTGTAGCTGTGTAATCTCCGCAGGATGGAAGAACTAGCAAAGGTCCACGGCGGAGTTCTGGAGAAAGCTTTCCGAGCCAAGGCTTTGCAATGCCCAGCACGGAGCTTCTCGTGGCAGTGCTTTAATTTAAGTGCGGCCAGGCCAGGACGCAAGAGTTCCAAAAGAAAATGCTCCAAGGGGAGGAGGAGGTGAAGAAGCTGAACCAGGCCACCAGGAACGTTAGTGTCGAGGTCGGAGAAGCAAGGAAGCTGGAATGTCTGAGGAAATCAAGGGCCAGAAGCAGCTGCTCAAGACCACGGAGGACACATGCTGGATTACGGTGACTCAGTGCAGGCTTGCCCAGACCACAGCTTGAGATGAGGATCAGCTGATCGCAATTCGGCACCGGGAAGAAGATTACAACAACGGTGCCCGCCTTGCTGTCATGAAGAGCAACAAGCTCGAGCGAGACTTGAAGGATGCGCGCAATTCGGCGACAATAGCCTTCGGCTCTTTTCAGAAAGTGATTGGTGCGGGCATTGTTTGCAGATGAGCGGTGTGTAACTTAGGCGAAGAGCTCGCGTGCCTCTCCTGAACTCAATTCGAGAAGGCAGTTGGAGGATGTTCCTGACGGAAAGCACGTCTACGCGTCTCCCCTTTCTTTTCTGTGCATGTGTTTATCTCTTCTGTCGTCTGCAGCATTCGCCGAACTCCTGTTTTTTCCACAACTTCTTCTTGTTTGACGTCAAAGTGTTTTTTTCTTTCCGGTTGTTGTCGGTTGCTCTAGCACCCCTCCGTTCCATGCAGGGGCAAACAACCCACCCCGAAGCGGTCAATCTTAACAATCTCAACCGTCAGAACCCAAAATCCACCTCCCGAAACCCAGCAGGTAGTCTCTTTTGGTTGTCTGTAATTAGCTAGGCCTGCATAACGAAGATGAACATCGCTTGACCATGCCACAGGATGCTTGTACCATGTGGCAGAGTTCTGACAGTTTGCCCAGTTCCCGTGGCATCTTGCCTTCCACGAAAGCTCGCTCTGTGGAGCTTGCGGGAGTTGTCGGGGACCGTACTGTATCTGGTCCTAGTCCTTTCACAACGCTTAAACGGTGGGGGATTGGGCGGGGCAATCCAGGTGCTCCCCTCCTCCCCTACCTGAAGGTCCCTTGTCCAGCAACGGCTCTTGCACAGTCCATACTTCTTGTCTCGACCCTGCAAGATCGACACTAGTGTCTAGGAGCAGTTTCAAGGGCAAGTGGTAGCATGGCGACTTTCGTGTAGGGTGGCTTCAAGAACATTGCCTTATTTCGCTTGCATCTGCCTTGATGTTGCGCTTTTTGACATGTTACACCTCTGCACGGCCAGCCATAGCGAACCTAGCGGCACTCGCGGTTGCACACGCCGCTGTGTGTTGCGACTTCTGGCGCCCGTCTAGGGTTGTGCGGGTGTACTAGCATTTCGGGCCGGGGCATGCCAACCAGCTTTCTGCTTCTTTTTTCCGTGAATGTCGCGAATCGCCACAACTGTCAGCATTCAGCACATCAGTGGGACCGCCACGCTCGAGTGATTTGCGGTGCTGTGCTGCAATCGCTTCGACAAGTCGCCCCACCCTTTCCCTGCTGCGCTTCCTGCCCCCAGCTTTCGTGGCTCTCAGCTGGCCTACCCCAAGCCCGCTGACTGAGCTTGTGAGCGAATGGTTGGTGAAGTAATCAGTTGCCGAACCTTCCTCGCCTAGTGTGAGTACCAAAACCACAAAACCGTCTACATTAACCCCTGTCGTTGACCACCCTGCAATGCGGGTCTCGTCCCTGCTGAGCGGGAGGCAAAACGAAACCCTCAGCCCATGCAGTGTAGTCCCTCTCTGTCGACCTAGCCTCGCCTGGAGAGTCCGAGTTGCGAGAGAGAAACACGTGCAGTTGCGCTTGCTTGCTCCTGAACTTCGGATGTACCTGGGGGTATCTGGCATCCTGCGTCGTCGGCCTGTCATGGCTCGGCCAAAAGAATCATAACTCACCCGGTGCTGTGTTCTTGGGTGTGTTCTCCTCTGAAACGTGTGCTGTTGGTTGGAATCAGTCTTACACCGCCTTGTGAGGATCCTTGCCCTCCGTTGTGCGCGTTGTGAGAGTCGAACTCCCCAAACCCAAGGCGCGGTTAACCCAAAATTCCGCCGAGCCCGAAACGCTCGAAACCTTGAGCCGCAAGCAACAGTAAGCCTGATGAAACCGAGAAAAGGCGTGCGGTCAACGTCAAGACATATCACGACGCATAGCTGATGTGCTTTTCCCGAGAGTGGTGAACCTAAGGAGCCAAAAGCAGAACCTCAGCGATGTGCCCTTTGCTTGGCTGGGCGTGACATGGGTGAAGAAGGTTGTGATATAAGCTTTGAAGCTAAGGAGTGAGTCGGCGCAGGTGCAGGAGGCACGATGGGATTCAGCTCGACGCACGCGGGAGAACCAGGAGGTGCCTGGATGGGCTCGGTCCGGAGATGTCCTGAGTCGAACACGGCTGAAGGTCGCGAATCTGGCGGAAGAGCGGCTCGTGGAGTCCAGACAAGGCCGGGCCTGGGCCAAGCCGCCAAGCGCCGCCGTTGCGACCGCAGACCTCTTTCGAGGTCAGCTGGGTCTGCTTCGACAAGTCAATTCTCAGGAAATGTCGCTTGTGGAACAAGAGCTAGAACACACCAAGCGACTTGTCTGCAGTTGGAGGTAGTATCACTTCAGAGATGGCGGGTTCGGATGTTCGGTGACACTTGGCGGATAACCCCTGGGTCCAAGCGACCCTGCTTCTAATAACAGTTAAATTCAGGTGAAGACCGGAGTTGGTCGTAAGACGCACCTCCCCTGCATAGCTACGTAGAAGACTTCCTGTGACATATTGCATCTCTTTCAGGCTCTTGCTGAAAGAAGCACGTCGCAAGAACAAGGACGACCGGATTCAAACTTTCTCAAGCTTGTCTTTGCCATACTGCGCTTGCAGGAGGAAGCCAAGGTGGAACAAGAAGCTCTGCGACAGGAGCAACAAGCTGCCAAAGCAACTCACGACGCTGCAGAAGTAAAGCTCCACAAGGCGCCGGAGCGCGATCGATAATAGAAAGTTGAGGAGCTGAAGGGGAGTCTGAACAAAGGAGAGGAGAAACAGAAATAGCAAGGGAAACAAAAAGAGATGCCCGGTAAACGCTGAAGTAAGCCAAAACACAACGTGGAGAAGCTGGTAGGGAAAGGAGTGGGACATCCAGCATTCCCAACTGTCAGCCAGATCCGGCAGGTGTTCAGGCATGGCAGACGGTCAAGGGCAGGGACTACTGACAACTGAGGGGCGCAATACTGTGTAACATCTCAGAGCCTCCCTTAGTTGAGCTGTGCATGCATAGGCTCCATCTGAATCTGAGTTGAATGGAGGCCCATACTTGTCACGAAATCCGAGGTTCGTGATGACAGCAAACGACGTTCTGTTGATAGGCGGGTTGGGGGAGGCACAGCTGCAATGGCATTTCTCGGCTACTCCTCTGCCGTACTCAAACTTCACTTGGCACAGCGCACGCAGACTTTGGCCTCCGCCCCCCTTGTCGGATTTGACGGGATTGCCGCCTGGGCCGCTTGATCCGGGTGTGTTGGGGTGGTCTCCCGTTCAGCGTCCTCTTGGGCTTAAGTGCGGGGTAACTGTTTATTACCGGACCCGGCCCCATGTGCCTCAGTCCAGCCGTTGTGAACTGGAGTGAGGGGAATGGGCTCCCTTGCACAAGCCCTTCATCACACTAAAATGTGAGGGGTTGGGCGGCCGAAGGCCTGAGGGTCGTAACGCGACCCCCACGCCCAGCAGAAAGAAAGAAAAGACAGACACTTTCGAGCCTTGGCAAGCTTTCAAGCTTTTATCATTTTATCTGCGCCTTTCTGTTTCGCCAAGTCGTGTCACCCAGACGCAGAGATCGGGGAACCCGCACAGTGCTTCGAAGATCGATCCAGTGGCTATTGTGTTTCCACACAAGTGGCCGTGCGCTGGACGCACAGGGTAAGGGGCACCTGCGAACTTTACCGTTGTCAGGAACGTGTGTTGATGGGGTCAAGCACATTGGGGCATGCAACAGCGACGGCGCCATTCCGCTAACAGTTCCTGTGCCCCTTCTGCGGGGCGTGTTTGGATCTCGGCTCGGCGAAGTTCAAGATCGATATGTCACATTTTCGATCAGCGGTCGTGAATGTCTTTACATACGCCCGAGATGCGAGGTTCAGACCCAACTGGAGCATACCAGAGAGGACTGAGCCTACTGTCTCGCTGTTGGTATAGGGGTTGTTGGCTCTCAGAGCCTTGAGCATGCGCAGGAGCAGAAAGCCGCAGTGCAAGCTGCTCGAGATCGTGCTCAGCGTCACATCGTGGACGACGAGGAAGAAAGGAGAAGCCTCAGCTCTTGGCGAACCGGAGCTTTTGCAAGAGCTGCTAAAGCTGGCATGCCAGGACGAAGGAGGCAGAGAAGGCGCTGAAACCGTATCAGCTGAAGCTCCAGGAGGCAGAAGGACGTTTGCATCAGCAAGAAGTTCAGAACCAGGCCCGGCATTTGGTCATGCTTCTTTCAGTCGATACCGGCTCTGTCAGGTGCAAGCACAAGAGATGACCAGAGAGACGGCAGCATTGCAAACTGAAGCGAAGCAGAACGCATCCAACTTGCAGTATCCTGGCAGCTTGAAGGGCCCTCTGCTCGTATGCCTCTCATGGTCTCGCAGATATCTTTCACAGCGAATGGACACTCAGGCACCAAGAGCACGGCAGTCTGAGCCTTGCCCGCCTAGAATGCCTTTTGCAAATGCGTCCTGCTGCCTGAAACTAGCATGCGGCAAGCTTGTGGTTGCGCACGCACGCACACGCGCACACGCATGCACTCTCGCACACAGGCAGGTAAGCAGGCACGCGCGGAGACTGACTGACTGACTGACTGACTGACTGACTGACTGACTGACTGACTGACTGACTGACACACACACACACCCATGCACGCACGCACGCACGCACGCATGCACGCACACGCACACGCACACGCACACGCACACGCACACGCACACGCACACGCACACGCACACGCACACTCACACGCACACGCACACGCACACGCACACGCACACAGGCGGAAGGAATG